ACACACACACACACACACACACACACACACACACACACACACACACACACACATAAAACTCATACAATCTGAGAGCCACTAATCTGTTTATGCAACGCTAAAGTTCCAGCCTTTCAGAGTCAAATACAAACACAAACACACACGGCATCCACCAAAGTCTGCAGGGTTATTCGTTGCTAGGGAAACATGTTCACAAAATCAAAGTCCAATCTGACTCAGTAAATCTCTACACTGTCTCCTGCAACCTCTCGGTGCTCTGCAGAAAGCCAGCAAAATCAATTCCAGCCCGCTGATGACAAGTAGTGTTGATTCCCAGTGGCTGCAGAGGGCTTTGGTGACATAGCCGGGACACATTGTTTTATCAAGGAGCGGGGCTGCAGGCACCCCATGCAGACAGTACGAAACCAATCATCAACCAGTGTCAAACACCCCTGTGGGAGAAGCTGCCAAAGCACAGGGACCATATGAAAAGTGATACATCGGAGAGTCAAATATGGGATTTCTTATCTCTCATCAGCTCATCTCAAAAGAGTCTGTGGGCTTTAACCCACAAACCCAGTGACATCCACCTCGCATGACAAGCCAGAGGAGTGAGGAGGACACAAGAGGTCCAATTACACCCAAAAAGAAACATGCATGGAGAAACATATCTAAAGGGAGGGAGGGAAGGCGTATGGGAGGAACAAAATCAATGCGAGGTGTGAAAAAACAATGAAAAATATGAGTTGTCCAGGCAAAACAATTTCTATCACTTTTGCATGCTTAACATACAAACTCAACATCAGCCCCGTAACAGAAAATGCTGACTAATTATTAGGGTTGATCATTTAGAAAGAAAGCCACAAAGGTTTCACCAGTGTTATGTAACATTCAAATATGATCAGACACATAAGCTCGGTGACTAACACAACTACTTCAATCCCGATTTATCACATAAACGAATAAGCTGTCGGTTGCATTACAATGTTGCCAAATGGCATGCAATCAACTCTGAATGCAACTCTCTGACTGTAGGAGGAAATGCTATCCACACAAAACCACGTGGTCAGGCTAAACAGATGCTCAAACTTTTCTGGAAACAAACAAAACATGTTCACTTGTTAGGTACTTCAACGCAGAAATGTGAACTTTGAATAATTCAACTCCGGTCATATAAGGCCTCAAATCGTAAAATGGCGATGTTTGCTTCTTTTGAGTGATCACGTTGGTCTGCAGTTTGCGCTTTTGGCCAAGAGGATGTTCTAAATCTGTTTTTATTCACATATTGGATTACTTTGAGGCATCTGTCGAGCACTCAGATGAATACAATACTCTCTGTATCCCAGAGCTTTTTTGTCTCACTCAAGATTGCATAGATTGCATTAGCATGCAGTAGGGGGTCAGTGGAGGCGGAAACACAGTCTGATTTGACTCAGAACAGCAAGCTCTTTTTGGCAGCAAATTCAGATTCAACCCACCACTCAGATGCTTCCCCATGGTGGTCTGTTATTACCTATATTCTTTTTTTTACGAATGGTATTCTTTGAAGTTTGGACAGGAGTTGAACTTTTGACAACTGCTATGACAATCAGACATTGTGCAGAACACTAATGGAAGGCACACAGCAGCATACAGCTTTTGAATATAAATGACTTGAAAACAACACTCAAAAGGTGGCTAAGTTACAGCTGCAGTAAACCAAGATGCTTGAAAGCTCGCCATTAGCGTCGGATGAAAATGCCCTACATGTTTAAAATGGGATAGAGGAAATCCTTGGGAGAAACACAACTCCATCAAAGAAGCAGACCATTACGGGGAGCTGGCAGGAAACCAAGGAGAGCCTGCTCTCTGCAATGCCCTATTGCCCAGGGCAAGTCTGTGCAAGCTTGGATCTGAGAAGGGTTTAATTCTTCTCCAAAGGCTCAGTCGGACAGACTCTACCGTTTTTGTCAGTGGGAAAATCTTTTTCCATTTTTTGGACTATTTAAATGGCAAACTAAACCTGTATTTGATTGTTGACTGTGAAGATGAACCACTGGGAGAGTTTCAGACACGAGCTGAATATCTTTACAGCTTATAAAGCCAATAAACTCAGTTTGGGTTTAATTTCCATTAGTAAATCAGCAGCACTCAAGTCAGTCATTTCTTCCATGAGTTTACACTGCTTTCAAATTATTCATTTCCTCCTCCCCGAACCAGACTTTGGGCCTAACATGAACTATCCACAGCAGTTCAAAGATGTAAGCGATCACCCAGCCAGGGGTGGAACACAGCCCAGGAGACGAGTACCAGAGCTTACAGCCAACTTCATCTGTGCCGCAGCTGCATGGGCTGACACACGGGACCTCTGGAACTTTCGCCTCTGCGGCTGTTTTCACAAGGAGCGTCCTTATTAAGTCATTATTTGGAAATGTTTACTCCCATGATCGTGTTTGTTTTAATTTTATCCATGCACCACGGAAGAAGGGTGTGTGTATATTTGTGTCAGATGAGCTTCCTGCATAAATATAAGACCACGGTAAAGTTCACTAAATCACCTGCTGAAACACAACGGCTCGAGAGAAAATAAGGTCGCAGAGCGGACAGGAATAAGACTCGTGTTGCAAAGCCTTTTTAAAACAATGGCCTGCAGAACTGTGGGTACCCCTGGCTGGGTCGGACATCACCTGATCTCTAAACTATAGGTTTTTAACAGATTCATGTATTGTCATTGTCATTTTGTACAAGATGAGATGGATAAGAGGTGAAAGGCATGTCGTGTCACAGTCTGGAAAAAACAATCCACGTCCAACTCTTAGTAATTAGCTTTAATGGCTATGGCTGGTTCACAGTCATTACCAGAGGGAACATACCCCTCTGAATTTCAAGTAGATGTTTGATAACGCAACTTAGTCGTTGAGGCTGAACAGACGATTTTGGTCAAGCTGAGGTTTGGAAGACCAAGAAAACATTCAAAGAGGATCTCTTCAAAGCATTCATCAGAAGGAAAATCAAAAACAAGTGGTGGTCCTCAGTCCTACTGAGCAGCCACATCTGCACAAATATGACCTTCACAGGAGAGTCATTAAAGAAAACCTTTTCTGCCTCCTCACCACATCATTCAGCAGCAGAGTCTCAGCACTAAATCTAAAGAAATAATTCAATCAGGCTTGACTCTTCAGCCAGCAAGCGTTGAGAATATTGGTTGAGATTGGTTCTCGTAATAACCTACTAAAACTTGGGCAAACAAGCCTGGTTATTCCTCTAATCTGCGCCCTGCTCGTTTCTCTTGTCATTAACTTCTAGGTCAGGGACCAGTGGCGCCCACGTTACACGGGTCTTTATCAGCTGCATTTTTCAGTCCCACGCCTGGTTCACCTCCCCTCTTTGCCTCGTCAGATTAGTTCATTCTTCAAAAACTGTCCACTAAAAGAAAGCCTGGAAGAGGCTCGTTCTATTTTTTTCAACAATCCAATTAGTTCACCTAACACGCCACAGCAGCAGGGAACGAAAAAGCAGGGTGGCCTGTGCAGGCCTAGAAACGAGGTATGCTGGAGAGGCTGTAAGACTGAGTTGCTTGTTATGTAACAGACTATTTGTGACTCGCAAAATGAAATCATTACTTGAGGTTCCATTCACTGGTGAAGTAAATCCGAGGCAGCGATGCCAGAAAAGGCAACTTTTAATGGAACTAGAGTTCCTGCTTTGAAGAGGGAAAAAAAGTATTCTACCAAACAGGTTAAACAATCTGAAGCAAACATATATGTCTTTGTTTGTGCATTACTCTAGTTTTTTTATTCTATTTTTTCAGTTGTCATTATACTTTTCCTTATCATACATCAACCATTACACTCAGGTTTGCTTGTTCATCTTGACACACTGAACCTCCATGGTCCATAGTCACTTCTACAATAATCTGAGAAATACCTCAAAAGAGTGACAATACTTGTAACATGTGAAATTATGAGAGAAAACTCATATTTGCCTGTAAAATCAAAAGTGTAACTCTACAAGACATTTTACCAGTTCGTTTGAACTAGCTCTAAATCATCATGGCATGAAGTAGTAGCAGGGCATTGAGAGTCTGAATACCAATAATGTCTGGTCTCATTTCAGTCCTCTTTTCCCATGAGATCACAAAAGGAGGCAGGAAGTCTCCAAAAAGCCCTATCAGACACTGGCCAGTGAGGCCTGACCACTGGTAGTAGCCAAGCTCTGACCAGCTCTCATGCTGGCAAGAGGAAGATAGCATTCGGCTTCCGGATACACGAGGACTATGAATGAGGGCACAGCGAGTCTGGAAACTGTCAGTTAAACAAATACATTTTTGTAAAAAAAAAAAAAAAAAAACTGGTGGGAGTCAAGTAGAACTTTTGTAGAACAATCTCTGTTCTGACATCATCGAGACTTGAGGGTTTTCATTTTTTTAAAAGTGGGATTAAACAAGACAAACGTGGCTATGTGTTAAAAAAAAATTAGCCAGACATTAAGCTTTCTATACGAGCATAAAAAAATACTATAATAAAGACAAGTTGAAGGCCTTCTCTCTGTCACAACGTCTGTGTCTGACAAGTCCTCACCCTGAAAAATAAGGAGCTCCGGTGACTCAGCAGAAACAGCACGTGGTTCAGCAAGTTTAAGTGATGACTTAGTGTTGCTTAAGCTCAAACAAGGAAGCCTGGAGAAGCCTGCGGGTTTATGGACCTGTAGCCGACACATTCAGGGACACAGATTTGTCACTGCTTTCTCTAAAGCCCCATCCATCCTGCAGCACATTGATCACCCTGACTCGGGATCAGCTTCAGGGGTCACTAAAGCGAGCACCACAAGGTGACTGAAGTCCATTCACCCATTATGAGGCTCCAAGGGGTGTGTGTTTAAGATCCCCGGTTACACTGAATACTAGTGACAGCATCACAGCCACAGCAGCCTCCACTTCATCCTCATCTTCACCAGAGGATGTGGTGAGATCGTTTCGGTGAGTCTGACCTGGTGCAGCATGGTTAGGGGCCCTGGTGTTTGATTTCAGACCATTTAACAGATCCCACAGCAGGCCGAGGAAACCGGAGAACGCGACTACCGTGGTCTATACTCACCGCTGTAGAAACGGATCAAGCAGCTGAGGTCCGAGTTGGCCGCCTCATGCTGGACCCTCATGGGGTCGGCATAGCCCATAGATGTCAGGTAGTCATACACCATCTGCAGCGGACGCTCAGAGGGGTCCAGCCTCCTGCAGGACCACACAGGAGGAGATATGGAATGTGTGTGTGTTGTTGTACAGTAAGATGAAAAGAATCTGACCACCAGATTTTTAAAAAATGCATCAAGAAATATAAGATGTGCCATGACTCTTAAAATAGTGATTTTCAGAAGTATGACTCAGGAAGCTGAAATGTCCGAGGCAAACCAAACCAAAGAAAATCTAAACAAAAGAGAGACTTTACAGCTAAAGACTAAAAGGTTCTGTCTTTGATTTTTTTTTTGGCTTTAGGCCATAAAGCTAAGTCAATAATAATAACATGCCTGTATCTTTCCAATTCTTAGGAAAAGTTGCATTTCATGCTGTTATCAGCAAAACAAACCTGAAATACACGCATGCCCCTTCATGCTCAGTGTGCATAGACACTGTAATTTAGATACAAATATAAGTCAGTGTGACAAAAATTACGACCCACCAGTAATTACCGTGACCACTGATATCTAACAAAACGCGGATCGTCTCTGAAATCCAAAGCCCCCGTTCCCATGTGGGTCACTTTTCACATGTATTCGCACTAAATGGTGTTCTGCACAAAGAGAACGTGGCAAGCAAAACTGAAAGTGTAAAATAAGACTGTCACCCTGACACCAAAACTCAAGCTACCTGCATTAATTCAGCTTGCAGCTCCACACCTGAAACGATAATTTGATAGTGCTCATTTTCTATCAGTATCAGTAAACATAAATGTTCGGGTTCATTTAAAAAACTGAGCATTAAGCACCTTCCTCTATTCCTGTGTATGAATTCCCATATTATGCTAATTCACTGCAGGGAGCAGTGTCCTTCTAAGATGTTTTTTCAGTTGCAAGTGGATAAATGACAGTCTCTGTTCCACAGATCCACAGTTAAGATTCCATCACTGATTGACAAATGTTCCAACCTTAACCAATGCACCAAGAATTCAATATGAACCCAGCGTTTAACATCGGTCTTTATCTGAAGTTTTTCAGCAATCTTTGGAAATACGATTTTGGTAAATATCAACTATGAGCCACAAACGAGGCATACACTTAATTACATTGTATCTGACTGAGATACAACAGTCATATAAGTTTACATTTGTCAGTGAGAGAGCTAAATGAATTATGGGGCCTGTGATATCAGGCTGATTACTCCTCATGAGAGGAGGTATTTGACTTGTCTGAGAACCTCCCTTTGGAAGTGTCCGAGGAATGGCGAGCTGAGTGGAAACTCCGAGCGTACCCAGAATATACTGAAAGAATTACATGTCCCATCTGCCCTAAAAGCACTTAATGGATCCCCAAGGAAGTGTCTGATGCTGGGAAAAAGAGCACTGGGCCGCTCTGCTCACAGTGTTGGCATTTGATACCAACCAGGGCCGCAATAATTGGGTCAAAATAGGATGAATGGAAGGATGGATGTCATCTATCTACGCTATGGTGCCATCAAATTAATTCTAAAACAGCATTTTTCCAACCCAAAACAAAGCAGAAAAGAACGAGTACTAGGTCTTCCTGAAAGTAGAACATTACTATGTGCTATAAAAAGAAATAAAAAAAAGAATAAAAGCTGCACCATTTCCATCATATCCACACTTATAAATCCCTCCTCACTGCTGTCAGCTCCTTTGGTTCTGATGCTCCCACTGAAAGGTGCTAACACACGCAGACGAATGATCTCAGACGAGTTTACAGGAGGAATAAATCATGCAGAGCTATTTCCAGGGACAATATAAATGGAGTTCAAACTCAAGTATCTAAAATGAACAAATGCTCTATTTTCTTCTTAAATTTGATGCATTTCAGCTAAACCTTTGTTTGGCTTTTCCGTATGCCTGTCTCAAGCAAACGATGTTCTCCTCTGCACTAAATAGAAATAAAAGCTCTCTTCTAATGGCATTTGTCTGTGTTCAGAAGAAGATGATTCTAATATTAAATTTAAATCCACCAGGGTTTTCCGGCAAGCAGACATCAGGCTTACAGTTATAAGGCTGGAAAATAAACAACACAGACTGTCCGCTGGCTTACCAATATCTTGTATTGCATTGCATTTTTTACCATGCCACTTTACTTTGCATCCCCATCAGTTTTCAATCTGGAAAGATAAAAATTTGATCATTTTCCAACACCACACAACCATTCCGAATTTCCTCCTGTGAGCCCATCCACTGTAAATGCCGCTTTGCTTTTACAATCTACTCGGACAAACACTAAATCCCTTCTTTCCTCCTGTAGATCTCCACATTTATTCTCCGGTCAAAGATTCTTCCCTCGTCACTAGCCAGTGAACCACACAATCAAAAGTGTGTTTTGCTTTTTAAGGCAGAATATGTCTTCTGGAGCTTATAGAGATACACTATACGGTCATTTTCACTGAGGGTAAGCTGGGTGGGGAGCTGTGGGAGAATGGGACGTTCAGGTAACCACAGCATTTTGTTGTGTGAATTAAAACGAGCTTGCTCAGTCAAATGTCCCATTCAAAATCATACAAATGATGGCAAATTTAAAGGCCCATTAAAAGAAATGAATCTAAACTGTTTTTGTCAGACACTAATGTGCATCATTATTCTCTTATCAGCTGTGGTTTGGATGAGAATGATGAGCTTCCGCCTGAATCTTTACAGTTGTGCGAACCGGCTGTGCAACATCTCATGTTTCATTTGCAGCACAAATGTGCAACTGACGGTCCGCGTTCATCTCTCCGTGCTCCAATAGGCTCCTTCCTTCAGTTTTGTTTTTAAAACGTGATCGTACATGTGGAAGGATGTGAACAGTTAAATGCTTTGGTGCAAAGGCATTCTGTACAGACGGCAGTCATTGGAGAGTAACTAATGTAGTATTCATATCTGTCATACAATAGAGAAAAAAAAAGGAAAAACAGCACTCTGAGTTTCCAGAACAGGCAAGAAAGTCCGGCTGGCCTCTCTGAGCAGCTGTCATAGCACGTTGGGGTATTTATTTTCCTAACACAATGTACAGGGCATTCACCTGACGAGGTCTCCGTGCAGTTGGATGTAGAGTCCCTTCCCATCCCTCTGAGCGCACAACTCCTCCACCGTGGTGCTGGTGGAGCACAGCACCAGCTGTAGGTCCGTGTGCGGGGTGGAGGAGGCCTGAGGGCCGGACGCGGGCGGCTGGGGGTCCACCACGCCCCCGTAAAGACACACGCAGCCCCGCTGGGTGTCCCCTTTCAGCCAGTCCCGCTCTCGCGACCCGAACCGGGTCTTCCTGGTCACGCAGCTTCGGCTCCCGTTCCGCTTCATGTTGCGCTGCTGACACGGGAGGAATCTCTTTTTAAAACACGCATTATCAGTCCATACACAGAAGCAGAGCAGTTTGGGAGGTTTGGCTGATAATGTCCAAAAAAACCTGGAAACTGGAACAACTGAATAACGTCCCCCTTCAGGTCTGTGAGACATCTCAGTCAAACCCCTGACACACAATTCTGTTACTGGTGAGTTACAGGAAGATCCAAGGCAGATTTCTGCGAATGACCACAGAATATTTTTCTATGTAGGAAGGGGAGAAAAACGTCTGCCTGGAGACTCTTAGATACGACAGGTGAGACGATGATTGTGGCCCACAAAACATTTCAGTTGACGGGGCCCACAGCATGTGGGCATCTGCAACAAAGACCTCCTCTGATGCTGGTCTCCACGCATCATCTGAATGAATCCAGAGAGATTTCACATCTGTTTTTTTAGCCGCTCGCCTCTGATTGGCCGGGTGTCAAAAGGGGTATTTATTAACCTGGTAGGTGGGCGTCGAGTCATAATCCCACCTCAACTCTTCTGTCACATACAGGCTCCGTGAACTTTGGGTTTTGCTATAGTTGCACTCCTCCATGTTTTAGGCGTTTTCAGGCTAAAATTAAGAAAAAGGTCCTGATGTGGACAATATTCTGATGGCTCTGTCCTGTTGTGCTGTCTGTACCAATCACTATGCACTCATACAATAAGAAGCAGTTTCTCCTGTGATTGAATATTTGAAATAGTCAGAGCTATAAAAGCCATGAAAAGGTTTCTGCAGCCCAAAAGAACCAGTTTCCTGCCAAAGGTCAGACTGGCATTCTGAATATCTCTCTAATATTAGTTTTCATTAACCACTCAAATTCAAATGTGCTGTGGAACCAAAAGGTTTTGTCATCTGCTTTTTTATGTGCTCAAGCTCATGTCAATGCAAAGAAATCACCTAAAGCTGCTTTTATTGGTAGAATCACATCCATTGAAGTCTAAATTTCCTGACCAGCATCTATCTTGTCCATCCATCTTCAACCGCACAGTCCATTAATTCATTCACCTTAAATTTGAATTCTATCGCAGAGACTGCATCACTTAGAAAAAAAAACCCTTAATCGTGTTGTTGTTTTTCCTCTCTTTTCCTAATGGAATCGGATGCTGCTAGCTGGGTGTGCAGCAGCATGAGGTCCTCGATGAATGGTGCAATGCTGGGCTCCTTAAGTTTGACGTGACAAAGAAGCAACGAGCTGCAGTGATAAAACAATCAACTGCAGCTCACGAAAAACAGTTTCACACTTTTAACAACAAAGGAGGTAAAAATACTTTAAAGCTGCATGTGTGTTTTTCTGGGTGATCACAGATGAGAAATAAAGGGCTGAGGAGAGCTGCTGTGACAGACTTCTAAAAACGAATGAATGAATTGTTCCAACTTGATTAATATTTCATGATTGATCACTGAATCTAAAAAGATTTCGTTTGAAGTATATTATGTGAATATGCGTTAAACTCTTCTATGTGATATACAGACTCATTGAAGAATATTTTATCATACTTTTATGGCCAAAGAACAAGACCAAACATTCACTCCTGCCCTACTGAGATAGATGAAGGGCTGATAATGTGACTTCTCCTACCCATCGAAAGAAAAACATGCCACCAGATTGAAAAGTAGCTCCTGATATTATTCATATCTGTCAGCTTTAGTCGTGCATAAAGCGGAACTGCTGTTTACTGAATCAGGATCACTGAGCGGTCACCCAAGATGTCTTCAAGTGCACTGGGAGCCTCACAGGTGTCAGTGTGATTCAGGGATTCAACGATCGTGCTGCCCACATAAATACTATGCGCAGCACATTTGTCCAGGTCCAATTAAAGAAAACCGACTTACCCTTCAGATGCGGACGGATCCCGTCGAGCTGGTTTTCATTCAATCCCAAAACCACAATATGTTTCAATCAAAAAGCAGGAAGCTGATAAAAACTCTCCATATACATTAAGATAGGCGTTAACACTCTTAAAAATGTGGAAGCAGACACATTGATGCTATGATGAAACTTCCAGGAGGGGAGGATGTTTTGACTGTATTTATCACAGTTTGACCATTTACTTATTTAGATGTGCGCCCACTTTGAGATACAATAATTGAATAATGCACAGTCACACTAAAAACCTGGGCTTCCTTTTATAGATCTTGAAGAAAAAAGAAAATGATCAACCTGCAGGCCCTTAAAAAAAATATGCTAAAGCCAACAGCATTAGTGTGTGTTTGCATTAATTGGCTCTGGTACACTCCTCACTAAATGGCAATCATCTCTGGATCTGAGGAGCATTACACAACACGGAGAGGATGCGTTTTTAATCCATGCACTTTACCCCCCCCTTTCTACCTTCTAATCATCCGTTACAATTAAAAAGAACAAAATCCTCCTGCGGAAGGGAGGACTTTGTCCCGCTTGAATCACGGCATCAGAGGAACACGACCTGCCTTTAGCACCCGGATCCCCGTGGCTCCGGCACCGCCGCTGCGGCCACCGCGTCCCGCAGTCCGGCTGGGTCCGGCCGCGGGCAGCGTCGTGTCCGGCTGCCTGTCGATGCAAGCCCCGTTCATGCCCACATCGCCGTCCGCCTGGACGCCGGCCGCGTTCTTCTTCTCCCCGTCCTCCGTCGCCATGAGCGGGAGGCGTTACGCGCGGGGGCAGCGGCGCGCCGGCCCGGTGCGCAGCAGGCGGGCTCCCGCGGAGAGGTGACGGATCATCCCGGGTCCGTGCTGCGACGCCATGTCCCCCGACCGAATCTGGACTGCTGTCACCCAGCACAGGCCTGCCGGAGAGCTGATCAATAAACATTAAAGGGGCGGGTTCATGGAGGGAGAGGGGGGGGGGGGGGGGTTCTTCAACCACCACTGGCTCAATGTGAGGGGGAGAGGCTTCCCATGCATAATGATGAGGCTGAGAAATAAATACACGTTAGACAAATACAAATAAAGATAATGATCAAGCTAAAAACATTGATAAATGGATAAAAAAAAATACACAATGATGAGACTGATAAATAAATCCATGTTAGACAAATAAACATAAAGCTGATAACATTAACGTATAAATAAAAAATACATAATGATGAGGCTGATAAGTAAATACGTAGGCTATTAGACAAATACAAATAAAGATAAAACTTATAATATTAATAAATAGATAATAAATATATAATGATGAAGGAAGTTGGACGGTTTCATTGTTTTCCAGGAGCAAAAATCATTTAGAAAATCATGATTTTACCGTTGTAGCTGGTGTCCTGGCTGAATTACAACGTTTCGTTATTTTCTGATAACTGTACCAGCACAAACAGATTGTTTAAACCTACCTGGTAAAGGGCTCCTGGTTTATTCCTAAAGTGGGTGGAGGAACATTATTGTAGATGGTCCCTTTTGGTAACTGTCCCAGGTACTGTGTACTTACATTTTGTTTGAAATTTTTCATTTCCTGGGGGGGTGGGCTGATACCGGGGAATAATTCTAGGTAATATTGTATTGTGGAATCCGTGTGGAAAATAACTATGATCTGATTAGATTATATTGATCAAAATTTAAATTTGACTTAGTCATGAGCCATTTGCAAGTAACTTTGAGCGATTAAAATATCCTGCAATGTAACCAATTGCACATAAAGGCTGCACTTTTTTCATGAGTGACTTGATTTGACCTGGTCTGATTGTAGAATAATCAACTAAAACCACTGACAGATACTCAGCTGGGTAAATCTGCATCCTTGCATTGACAGGAATGCCGTTTTGTCACTTGGGAACTAAATATTTTACAGGATTTAGTGTGGCATGAGCATTTAAGGGACACATTCTTACTTTTAGTGTCAAACACATGCCCTTTTCTGACCATGTGTCTAATGGCTGCTTTTTAAGAGTCCTTTCACTCATTGTGGTCTGACCCTAAAGGTCCCACAGGCTGAAGGATTTTGCTCCATTGTTGATGGTAGAGGCTGATGTTGACAGCTTTTAGTTTTTTACAGTTGATTCATCCCTTTATATGGTCATTATGGTCAATAAATAGACATAATGTAATGCAAAAGGAGCATTACGACTAAGAAACTGATATATTTTAATTAATAGATGTATAAACAAGGAAAGGTCGGTAAGGTTAATTGAAACCCCATTGAGTTTGGAAAATCTGTACACAGTACACAACCAGACTTTCACCAAAATATTCCAAGTCTTAATAAACTGAACAACCACTTTTAATCTAATGGAACCATGGTTATACTCACCATGGGATTAAATGTAAAGATTTTTTCCTTTAAAAAAAAAAAAAAAAGGGAAAGATCTTTAAAGCTTTTCATTCTTCCTCCAAGTGAGGCTGTCATAAGCCTCATTTCTCAGTTGGTCACCCCCACACCAAGAAAAACAAACTTCCAAAGCTCACCAAGACTTTTTGAATTGACTTTTTATTCGCTTGATCATTTTCTCCAACCCAAAGACAAGAGTACACAGCATAAATTGAAAATATCCCATTTAGTAGTTTACAACTTCTCATCTTTAATCATTTCATATTTTCAGTCGGACTTTCACACTCTGCTTGAAGCCATGAATTTCGGAAACCGTTGAAGGTGTCGAAGCTGACTGGAAAAAGTGAACCTCATGCCTTCACCCCCCCCCCTTAAAGAATCAAAAACTATTTTGTTTTCAGTCACAGTTGGTCGTGGAGGAGGAGGTGGTTGGGGGGGGTTTACAGATTATGTCTTCAAAATACATTGGATGCAGTGTTTTTCTTTTCTCCATTTTTAGACCGAACAGGGAAAGTGAACGTGGTGGTTATTTAGACATTCTGCCCAGCCCTTCACACAATGATTTCATCCCGACATACAAACAAAAAAAACTCAACAAAAACCACAAACAAGACCAATAATTCAAGCGACTGAAGTGCATCTTCCATTGCCCTCTTAAAAACATTAACAGTGTTGTGAGATGTTTCTGAGAAGCTTCTAACTGTTGAGGTTAGTGCTGATCCATGGAGGGAGGGGGAGGGGGGGGGGGGTATTGTGTCTGGTTTGATATTCAAATTTGACAACACAAAAAAAAGAAAAAAAAGAAAAAGGAAAATCCAAGTCAAGAGTAGAAATGTACATTTTCCGCATGCAGCTCAGAAGCTGAAAGTTCACTGCTGCAAAAAAAGAAAAAAAAGTCCTATCGAGATAAAAGCCACACATCATCACACTCTGTCAACTGTGATCATCTTCTCTCCGATACACACACACACGCGCACACACACACAGCCGCTTTTCTTAATTCCATATTACCTTGCCCAAACCACTCATATTGGGCTCACTTTCATTTGTACATTTTAAACAGTGTCACAGAAAGAAATAATCCAATTTGATTAAGAAAGGTACATACAGGTTGATTAATACAATACAAACCACACAAAAACATTCAGGAACAGGTTTAAGAAACTTCCTTTTCCATCCCATCAGCCTTCCACTTTGCACAGCTCCCCCTTGTGATCATCAGCTTACAGCACATGCTTTTCCACAAATCCTTATGGAGGAGGGAGGGGGGGGTATCGAAACAAAAACAAATTGGAGCAAATAAAATGTTAAAATGGCCCCGACAGAAAGAATTGTCCGACAATTTTTGCATAACAAATTGTTAGAGGTCACATCAACGTCACTTCCTTTTATCCCGGATCATTGTAAATTAGAAATGGAAGCTGTGCCACGCAGACACAAATAACATCAGTGGCACGTCACTAAAAGAGGAGGAAAAAAAAAAAGCGAAAAGAATGCAGTGTATTGTTCACACTCAGGGGCAAACACTTCAAAATCCCTTTGCACACATAGAAATAATCCTACTTTTTCATATCCCGGAGAAAAAAGCAAAAAAAACAGAACAAAAAAAACAAAAAAACAACTTCTTGAATCTGGTGGCTTTGATGGGAAGCTGAATGACTAAGGAACAGGTAACAAAACCTCCAACCCCAGGAACAGTAGTGTCTTTGCTTGTTTGGAAGGAGCTACGTGACAAAATAGTCACCAGGCAACCAAGAAAGAGAACACACCAAAACCAAAAAAGGGGGCTGCGCTTCATAGAAGATTTGTGGGTGGAGGAGAATGCGGAGAGTGCACGTAAGGCCAGATGGAAGAAATGCATCGTGGCAAAAGAGCGGCACCTCTGCGTGGCGTGAGGCGTTTGAGGCCGAGAGGAGGCAAGCGAAGCCCTAACGCTCCTCAGTAGTACGGTGCATCATTCAAACGGTATCTGTGGGACAGATTCTACCCTCATTTAAACCGACCCCGCCTCGTTGCCAGCTGACCCACTTCTTAAAAGCAACGACGATGCGTTCGATCGTTAAGTCTGACAAACGGTAACTAAAACGCAGCTCAGTTGCATCCTTTTAAGATTCTTTTTGTACATATATGCATACAATTATACCTTCTAGCTAATCTTATGTGGGTTTTATTTAATCTGATCAGCGTTTGTTTTACAACTATATACAATGTACAGGCAGCAGATCATATATCTTTTACAATGAATGACTGATGATACAGGGAAGTCGTTTTAGACTGATGCCGACTAGGTCTATTTAGACAATATACATTGTGAATAATTGGAATTTTTTTTAGAAAAATGGTATCTAAAAAAAGGATGAAAGATAGTACAAGAGACAAAATTGTAAAAGCCCTCAATATGTACAGAAAAAAAGCCAATATAGCATTTGTCAACAAAAGGAAAAAAGTTCAACTGAAATAATTTTCTCCATATACACATATCATAGCTCAAAAATATTTCCAAAGCTAATAGTCTCTCTGATTTGGTCACAGAAGTTAGAAGATAGTGAAGCATAGTCAAAAGAATAATACAGTCTGACTGAGCATCTGAGGATCTGGACACAGCATGGTATGGCTGTATATGTTTTAGTGATGAGATGCACAAACTACTGTTAGTTTCTCTCATGCAGATGCTCCCCTCGATTGCAAATAATGGCTAAACGAAGCGGCCAATCCACTGCCACTAAAAGTTGAAAGAAAATCTTTTTTAAAAACAAAACCAAAAAAAGAACACAGTGAGGTATTTCTTAAGGTTCCTGTTCCCAACAGCATGGTGAGAACGCCGATTTGGAGATGTCAATGAAGAGAGTGAGCTCAAACATTCACCACAAAGCAACCTGTTCCTGTACCTCCGGAAGAGATCCAAACTATTCAATGTCTATTGATGGATGGACTGGGAGGGGGCATGATGATATTCAACATTTAGAATTAAGCAAAACACATGAAACCTTGTTGCCAGCTTCTGAAAGTTTACATCTAATAGCTGCCATTCTCTTTGCAATTTACTACGTTTTCAGGATTCGGTACATCACCCAGCCTGTACTTTTCCTGCTAAATTTGACACACTGCCATGAAACAGATTAATTTAACTACAAATAAAATTTTAGCCAAATCAAAGACAAAACGTTTTTGCTCTGGACATCCAGGCAGGCCTGTATTGGTAGGCGATTAACAAGTAAAGAAGGGTAAATTAAATGATGTGATATACCAATTCAAATCCATCTGGATCCTTTTCATCAGATTGCAAACGCTGTCGTCGTCATCACACAAGCAGACTTACAAACAAAGCTCATACAGTACTCAACAGTTCAGGGGCTTCTGTCTAGCTAAGGCAAAAAGGCACATCACTTTGATATCAGGCATAAAGTCAAATTACTGCAGAAATAAAACATACCTTGACAAAAATAGTGCCAATAAGATGAACGTCCCCATCAAAGAAGACATGAAAAGAGGGAATAAGAGGGGGAGCATTCAGTGCATGTAACTACATTCATAACAATCTTAAATGTACATGTATGTGCATGGTGACCAAGTTCAATCAGGTTAAACAAATCTGAAATGTAAATTCAAAAACTACTCTGATGACAAAGATGCAGGAAAGGTTAAAAATGCAGATTTCAAACGCAAATGCAACCGACCTGCTTTCGGATCACTTTTGCAGCTGTGATATCCACCCACTGAATAAACTAGCTAGCTATACACCCACGAGCCGTTTGCGCTCTTCCAGGTGAGATTACAGCTTATTCTTCAAAATCAGATGTTCAAACAGGGCATCTCAGACCTCATCACTGCAACAGGTGTAGATGGCTTCCTATAGAAACAGGATTAAAGAGGTCTGCCAGCAGAATGAGAGCCCCCCTTTGTTTGACTGTGATCCCAGCGATGCTCAAACATGCTAGAAGCAAATTAATGTAATTCAAAAATGAATACAACTCTGAGAAGTTATATCGCTCGTCATGTGGGGGGTGAAATTAACAGGTTGCCAAAAAAGTTTGTGACTGCGCCAAAGTAACCTTTCCTCAGCTTCTCCTGCTGCAGGGCTGATCCTTCATGTCCAAAATGTGCATGATAAGTCAAAGGGAGCCAAGTACCTACACTGAATTTGGGCACAGAGCTGTGGTTACTGAAGTGCCCGCGGCGGGCTCCGACTTTTCCCCTACAGTGACTTGGAGAGGAAAAGCGAGCCCCAGAGAGTGATGTGCACATGTGCTTCTGTGAGTAAAACGGTGCTGGGCCTGTGAACAATAGTACAGCTTACTAAGTAGAGAGATTATGGAAACCAATTATGAAAGAAAAAGAGAAAGTTTATTGATTGATATGCTTTCCCAATTATTCTTGCAATGTCAGGAGGGCGTTGGTGACATCAGTTTTTTTCTCCTGGGTTCAATGCTCTGCTGCTTCCCATGCAAGTCAAGGGCAGCGGTTTGCAGTGATGCCACATGGGAAAAGGGGGGTGGGGGGGTGGGGGGGGTGTGTGTATCCGTTGGAAGAGAGGTGGGAGGTGAAAGGAAAAAAAATCAAACAAACAAACAAAAAAAAGGTTTTCATAGTTCCCTAGGTGGGGCTTTTAAGAGCAACGGGAGCAGGTCATCACTGCCACGACTGTGGGGGGAAGTTATTAACCTCAGACAGGTCTTGAACAGCCGAGCCTTTGTGGGTGTACGTCAGCTTGATCCTCATTCGTAGTTGTTGCTGAAATTTGGGAGCATGATTGTGTTTACAAAAACAGCATGTTCATACAAAGTGTATCACATTGGTCTTTGAATGTGTGTATGGTGTGTTTGAGGATAGTGGAAGTATGGAGCACAAACTCACTTTCTGTGGATTAAGGACTCTGATGACTTGCGTGACAGTTCCCTGGTTGAGTGCTGAGACAATGTTACTGCTGGGGGAGAGGAGCTGCAGCTGGAATGTCTGACAAAATGATGGAGGACACCGTGAGATGAAATATTAATGATTATCGTGGAGAAACTAGGTCATTTCAGCTGTTTAAAATGAAGCCTGTAACCACAACTGATTGATATTCAGTTCAAATTCTTCATTTAAAAATGATGCAATCCTTACATAGACTGTGTTTGGTGATTCAGTGAAATAAAGCCATTTAAACAATGTTTTCATGTTCTTTTCCTTCCAGTTTGAAAAATACTGCCTCTGGAATGCTGCCTCTTAGTTTTACCTGTGAGGTCTGTACTGACCTATTGAAACTTTGGGTGAAAATCTAGTTAGTTTTTAACAAAACAATATTTTTTGACACTGTGCTAAACAATCTTATCTTACTTTTGGACTCTATACAGAGACAACCAACTCTTTTCACGAAAAAAAGGGACACGAGGGAACTTTAGGCTGCTGCCATTTTTGCCAAAACTGCCCATCAGTTTTAAAACAAAGTGCCCTTATCCAAAAAAGCTAAGAGCACCAAATTTTTATTTTAAACAAAATGAATTATACTCAAAGATCAATTCAAGTTTTCAAAATGGAAAATATTTGGCTTAGAAATAGGCTACTGGTAGAGGTGAGAGTGCACTCCACTGATTGTCACTGCTTACCTTTGGTACTGCAGCCTGAAAAACAAAGTCTGTCATGTCTGAATCTGTAGAGTTTGATGCGTGGATGGTGATGACTGCGACATTTGGGTTTGGGTTAGCTCTCTCAAATGTAAAGTCTATTTTCAGACCATTTTTGTTGTATGCCGTCATGGGAGGAATACCTGTGTAGAGATTTTGGGGGGGAGGGGTTAGATCTGAATTCTTAACCATTTTACAATTCGCAAATGTTTGGAATTGATTGTATATTTTGTGGTGATTGGCCACACTCACCGGCAGCTGCAATGTCATTAAACAGGGGTTGTGAGGAGAGGCCATCCAAGAGGAAAGTGGGTTGAGATGTGGGCACTGAGGGTGCAGGAGCAGGGGCTGGACCGCCTTGGAAGGGCAAAACAAGATGACACGGTTTAGGATAGACAGTGAGGCGTCTCTTTTCTCATGCCTTTCTTTGATAAACAGAAGCTTAAGTGTGTGCCATTCAAAATGAGCATCAGATTATTTAGCAGCATTCTGTAGAAAATGCCACATCTCTCCAAATACTGCAGATGCTGAGACACATTACAGAGAAGCAAAACATCTGCACCTAGATCTGGAGAGGGTTGAGCTTTTACCTGCTGAGAAGCAACCATGCTTGTGTTGACATTTGATCCACAATGTGAGAGAAATGCCCAAACTACAACTGGTGGCAAATGAAGGTTTTAAACGGAGTGCCGTACCACTTAGTGAGAGGTCACCCAGCAGATCAAGTAGTTCTCCTCCAGCTGAGGCGGGCTTGGTGGGCATCGTTGTCTGGATTACTGGTACATCATTACCACCCAGTAAATCTAACAAATCATTAGCCTAGGGTCCAAGGACAGCATGGTAAACACATGTATCATTACAGAGTTTCAATACTACATATTAAGGAATAAAATCAAGACAGTTGGATATTTATAACGCAGTCAACAAAAGCTTTGGTGTAAAGATAACTGAACACAATTACATTGCCTGGTGTAAAATATTCAAATACACATTGGGGGATATTCTCTATAATATAGTTACTAAAATTGGACTCACCTGGCTGGGTGGCTGGGTGACAGGTGGTGGATGTTTTGGTTCCACAACAGAAGATTCTGTCTCCCCATTTGTCTGTACAATTTCTGTGGGGCCATTTGTAGCGGTTTTCTCCATAATGGGCATTCGCTCAAGGAGAGCTGGCCTATGGTCAAAAATATAAGTTCAAGAACTACTGACTAGTAACAGTGTGGCTGGAATACACATGATAGTAACAAATAGACTACTCTCACCTCATATGGTCGTATTTCTTGAAAAGCGCGTTGTACTCCACTGCTCTCTGTTGAAGTTCCACATCAATGCTGCTGCCATATATTGAAACCACTTTCTTGATTCGGCTAGAAATTTAAAACAAAAAATTATTGCCATCGTTTGTCTTCAGTTCAAAGTTATTTAGATGCAAAGCAACAAGTGCAACATTTTGCGAAGATCTCTCAAAGCATGACTAACTGACTAACAACGAACAGGGCATTCAGACCATTGCTGTGTTCTGCTCATCTGGTTTTGTTGTTGAATTCTTTGAATTCTAGAACAATAAAACTAAATCTGTGTCCTGAATCATCTCTCACACATTTTACATTGCTTTGAAACATAAAAAAATAAAAAAACATGTTCTGAAACACATTCAGCTAATGCCATCAAGCTTCTCGGACAGAAAGCCAAGTGCACACCTGTTTGATTCCAATTAGTTTAGAAACTCTGACGGTGCAATAATTACTTCGATTAAAATGGTGACCTACCTACATACCAATAATCTGAATCAACAGATTAAAAAGGTCAGAACATGGCAGAGTAAGAACATCACTAACTTTACGCTGCTGAAGCGAGTAGACAGCTTCATGATGGCAGTGAGGGAATAGCCTCGGGTAACCGGTGTGGACAGATTTGACACCAGCAGGCCTTCCAACACGTCCAAAACTTCATCTTCGGTCACCTTAATTCAGAAAAAAGGCAGTTTGTGGTGACCAGCTGTTTCTGAGAGCCTTGTAGGATCTTCAGAAAGTATGTTTGTGTAATTTAGCAGGGATTAATCTCATCCCATATCATAATACCTGGATGGGTTCTTCCTCCTCACATTGCCCAGACACCAGCAGGTCCCCATACTCTCCTATGCACCATGACGCTACCTGCACCAGAGGTTGCTAAAGAACACAGAAACACAACAAAGTCATTTTTGTACTTTAAAATACTTTGTAATAACCCAACTGTGCATTAGACAATTAAGCAGAACCTTAACTAAAAGCTAAACCAGTGACAGACCTGCGAGATGTCATCCAGTAAAGCTTTGTAGAGTCTCTGTACAGTGTAGGCATGCATCTCTACACTGTTGGTGATGAGCTGGATGAGATTGGGAACAGAGTCATCTCGCACATAGCTCCCCGCCTGCAAGGACAAACAGATGTGTTACTGAGGGTCATGTTCGTCGTGTTCTAGCAACTAATAGAAGAAAAAAAAAGGCATTTAAGGCACTGAAAAGGAGTAAATGTACATACTGTGGTCAGTACTCTCATTATGGTGTCTATGTGCCATCTTTTTGAGGGGGCATACCTGTAAAACACCAAATTCACTGATTAGTCCAAGAAAATGACTTCAATCATTCGAATCAAGTTATCTAAACTTAAACAGGCTGGAGATAATTGCTGTCAGAAAAGAAATGGTATCATCATTGTCTGTCAGACGATGGATCACTCACTTTATCATCAAACAGCATTTCAACAGCAGCCTCAAAAATCAAAGCTGAAGTATTTTATAACCTTGAGAATGACTAAAATGACTTGGTAGTGGACAACAGCAACAAATCAAGTGTAGCCATACTTCTCAGCAGCTAAAAACACTCCTGATGCGCAATCTGCTTTGAATTCCGGGTCACAGGAGTCCAGGAAGTAGAGCAGCTCTTTCATCATGCCTCTGATGTTGTTTCCATTCACGAGGGCAAAGCTCAGCTCCATTGCACGCCTACAGAAATGATATATTAAAAAAAAAATGTGAAAGATTACCATGCCAAATGAAAAGACAAGTCACAAACAGTTAAAAGTGACGTGAGACCAATGTGTCACCTCTTTATGGACACATCAAGGTCTTTTAAACAATCCACAATGGTGCTCCGATGCCTCTGCACTGCATTGTGGTCTGTCTGTACCGTCTTTAGTAGAGATGTCAATGCCACATATCTGGAACAGGGAGTTTAATTAAGAAACATCGTCAGGACTTAATAACATTTCAAATTGCACAATTAATTGCTCATAAGATCAAGAAAGATCAGGGAATTAATTACCTAATATTTTTGTCATTGTTAAGAAGGAAGCGACCTAGAATGTTAATGGCCAAAACCTGGTGGAAAAGGGCATTTCAAACTTAAAATTGAAAATAGCAAAAAAATTGGCATATATTCTTTATATATCAAATAATCTCACCCTCAGCCCACTTTCAGACTTGATGTCCATTATAGTCAGTACTGTCTCATACAGGATTGCGTTGCCAACGTTTTTACTTGTCTCTGTGTTTGTTGCCACCTGAAATAGTTTGTAAATTTGTCAAATACTGAATCAATGGCATTTTGAATCAAACAAACATTATATAATATTTATGCTAACCTGTGCAAGAATGTCATTCATTGCTTCACTGGAGTCGTCGTCGTTCTTGCCTAAAATTCGCAGTAGTCTCAATATCCGCACCTGCGGAACAGGAACAATAAAGTCCAGTCACTTTGTAGATTTAAAAATAGCAATGATAATTAAAACAAATGACCACGCTTTTTTTTTGTCCTCATATAACAAGTAAATACAGATGTGCCAGCATCAGGGAAAGGATGGAGGGTAATCTTTTAAAGAGTAATTTACCTGCAGAAAAGGGTCGCTTATGCCCGAAACATCGTGCTCAGGAGAGTACCCTGACATTATTAGGTTCTTCAGGATTCGCACCAACTGTGGAACCAGCTATTGGAAACAGGAAACAAAAAAAGAGAGAGACCAAGAACAGGACAGAAAAAGATGTGTCACAATACATTGAGTGGATCTTAAGGCTTTCTCTTATTCCTCATCAACATTTAACATAAATTATATTCACTGACGGTAAGTGAATTGTTGCCAATTTGGAATGGGATTTGGCCAAGTTCTTACTTGGTAAGTGAAAGGGTGTCTTTAAGATTTTTTTGCTTATTGAGATGTTGTAAAATCGATGTTGTAAAATATACTTGATTAGAACATGTGGCTTTATTTGTCTCATCTAAACATGGTTATTTATGGAAAATAAATTAAACATAAGAGTTAGTTAATGGAAGCAAAAATGCAATCATATCAAGATGGAAAATTTTAGCATAATATATAATTTCCCCCTTCACCTTATTCATTCTTCTTAGATTAATAAAAGAGTTTTAAGAGGGCACTCTTTGATAGCAGTTTACTGTCTTTTTGAACATTTAGTAAGATAAATACACCATAATTTAAACCTTTTATACCCAGAGCAGTGGCGATGACCATAGCAATATTCTGATATTAAGTAGATCTTTTATTTAGATCACATAGAACCTGCATTTCATGGACTCAACTATGGCAACACAACAAAGGCAGTAGAAAATAGTAAAACTTTTTTTTGTGTAAGGTTGAGCAGCTTATTTAAAAGCGACTTTCACCGTGAAACCAACCAGTTAAAAGTTACAATTAAGCCGGATTTTTGTAGTTTTGCGTTTTGTTTTGCTGTTGTTGCATTTTGCAGTTTTCTCCGACACAGAACTGAAGACATTCCCCTTTGAGAAACTTAATGTATGTGCAAAGATGGCACTTAAATCTTTGTGATTAAAAGGAGTGAGTTTCAAGAATAGAAAAATAATGTTTAACGTGAAAAAACCCCAAAACATCTCAACTCTTTTTTCTATACAAAAGTGTCAAGAGTGAAAACCACATCTCAAGAATGCATCAGATCCATGACAGTTACTGTCATAAAAAAGGTGCTTCCATCTTACAGATAGAGTGAAAACCATCTGCTCCCAGTGACACCTGTGGCTGCCAAGTGAAGACACTGGACTATTTTATAGAGACAGTGATCAAATGAGTAGCATTTTAGGCAGATAATGAAAATCAAAACAATAGTGAGAAATGCATCTGACAAATGGTTCAAAAACTCTGATCATATTAAAAACAGACATTGTAATGATCACTGAACAAGTTAAGGAAATTAAAACTCTAAATTAAACCACAACATGACATTACTCAACACAAATCCAGTTACATCTGAGGTGACTGTGAGGAGTGATTACTATTAAAAGAGCATGCACCAGCTATGAGATCAGAATGTACTCTTACCTTCTCATTCTAACACAATGCAGGAATTGTAACAAAGACAAATGACAGAAAAAATATGAAGTAGATGTTAGGGAGGGGAGATTGGAAATCATTCACTTTCAGAGAGCTTAAAATAATGTTCAGATCATGAGCATGAGAACTGTCGCTTCTGGTATAGTTTTGTTAAACCTAAAGAAGGAGAGATACAGAAGGAAAAGACAGGGAGGAGAGAAAAGTCCAAGACAAATTCTAACATACTCTATAGAGGAAACCTCTAGCGCTACAAAACCGCAGACAGTTTAATATCTTTGTCTAGCTTAGTATAACACCACAAGATGTGTAACCAAAGGGAGAATGAAATGTGGCATGAGATTAAGACAAATGCATAGGTCATAACTTTAAGCTTCTTTAGGTTACATCAGGTTTGTACCTTTCGGAAGTGAGCCAGCATGTCAGGACTTCTTTCACACATCTCAGTGAGGAGAACAACTGATGTATGAAGAACACCTGGTGGAACAGTCAGTAAAGAGCATTTACGTCGTATGAAAGTCAGCAAGTGTAATTTTTATTCTGCCTCACCATTAGGGGTGGGACGGTTCACAAAATCCACGGTTCGGTTCGTTTCACGGTTTCGTGGTCACGGTTTTCGGTTCGGTTCGGTATATGGTGATTGTTAGGAAAATCTATTATGTCTTGTATAGTCAGGTTAAAACTAAGAATGGGGATCGTTAATATTTATTGATATCGATACTTTTATCGATACTCCTTATCGATCCGAGTCTTTATCGATACCACTATCGATAATTTTCTGTTATTTGGTGGAAAGACGATGCAACAATATTTAACAAATAAATAATTGTATTTTAAATAAAATGTAATTTTTAATAAATGTTGGCATCAGTAGTTTAATTATATATTCTAAAAATAATTAGAGCAATATACAACTGTATTACTCATGTTTCTCGCCAAAAACTCAATTTCCCTTTTCTTTACGTTACACTTGAACGCATCATGATAACCTAATTGTCGTTTTACTGAGCCAATCTGAACACACGTCTGAAACTTTATTTACTTTTCAAGCTAAGTAGCTTGTATGCTACCGATTACAACACAGATTTCACAATTACTATTGTAATAAAAAAAAAAACGACCAGACTCGATAGTGGTATCGATAAGCCCAAACGGTATTGATTTTTGGGTTTTGAAAAAAGTGGAACCAGGTCCTTGATAGAACCGGGTTTCGATCCCCATCCCTAGTAAAAACTGAAAGAAAAAAGCAGTCTGACATTTGATCCATTATTGTGACAGTCTTAGGTTAAAAATAGGCGAGATTCTGGCATTGCAAGAGAGGAAACAGTGCTAATTCCAACATGTGCTTCCCTCTAAATGCAAAGTGGTCCATACAGCAGACCTAGAAACTGCTGCTGGGTCTGATTTTTATCGGCTACGCTGCTTCTTCTTCTTCTGGTTTCCTACTGGTGGTGGGCTTTGGGCGCAGTAGCGCCCCCTTCTGCTCTGGAGTGAACACGCTTCCCTCTGAGAAAAAGGAGCAGTGCATGAACCGTGCGGTACACACGCGAACCGAACCGAGACAGTCGAACCGAACGGTTCAGACGGTTTTCAGAAACCGTCCCATCCCTACTCACCATGGCAACATGTGTTTTTACAGAGCTACACAAAATACAGTCAAGAAAAATCTCTTTGTTTTGGAGTGTGCAATCACTGCCTGTACTGACATTCTAAAAAGAGTACAGAGCATTAGCATGACACCCATACAAACAATAGCCGACCACTGCTGATGCCACCCATAAACAGGCACAGATTAGGACTGTTTTAGGATGTACGTTCTAACGGCAACTTAAACATTTGACAAAGAAGAAAATCTACCACAATATTATGTTGACAGTACATTTGTAATATTTCTATCTGCATGTTGAAGTCTTACAGTTAATGTGGACATTTTTTGCCACAATAATTGTGTGGTGAAATCAGATATCACGACGGCCTTAATACAGATAGAAGTTGGTGAGATCAGGATTTTTGTCAATGTGAATCTGCTTTTTTTTTGGTGCTTTGCCTGTAAATCTGGGTGGGGGGGTATTTAAGTTAAAAACTTAACTGAAGACTGATTTAGGACTTAGGAAATATCCCACTGAGCCCACTAACCATTTTCTTTGTCAGGAATTATGTTGGCGTATTAGAAACCTTCCTGCAATACAACACTGCCTTGCAGTCCTGGTAGACAGGAGGTAGGAATCTGCAGGGCTACCTCTAAAGTGCTCCTTAAAGACATTAGAAGACATTTCCTAAAATGTGGGGGCTGTTTGTTTTTGTGACCATATCCTAGCTGAGCAGCCACATGGATATAATGCATTAGGTATATGTATGATAAAGCCATGACATGACAAATAGAAAATCTGATTTAAAGATTATCACACAGAATAATCATCTCGTGACCTGATCTCAGTCTTAAAAGGTTGAAAGCTCTGGTCTGTGGGGCAGCAGTGGAAGCTGCTAGTAAGGCCACATAACAGTTCTTAAAACCGAAAATAAAATGAGAGAGAACATAATAATTTGATTGAAAACTGGTAGGCTGTGTATTTGGTGAAGAAAAATATACATATCCAACTAACTCATTCACACTGCTCTCTCCTCAGAGGAAGCAATAAAAAGGACATCAGCTACCCAGCTGCCCTCGAAAAAGCACTGGCATGAGTGGCAGGAAATAAGATGGAGTATGCATTTGTGTAGGACAACCACATTTCCCTGTCAGCCAGCAACAGCTGTCTGACAAACTGTTTCCACTTACCATGGTTCTTCTCGCTCAGCAGGTTTTTTGTGGCTGGAAGAAACATTTCCATGAGTTCTGGGACCTTCCTGATGACATGAACTGCACACAGTGCTGCCTGTCGATAAAAAAGTCAACAAAACATGGTGTTTAACACCTCATCTCACTTTGGACTTTTAACTGTGACTGTTCAGCTTATCTAATACCTTTCTTCAGCCCAAACAATCAACCAAAGGGGGAAAATTGATACTTTTAGTGTTTACAGAAGCTTACTTTTTTCCTTAAGTAGGAGTTGGATGTTTTTAGCAGCTTCTCCACTTCCCCTGCAAGGTCACGGCACATTTCTGAAGAACCCATGCAGCCTAAAGTGCACAGAGCCAGGCCCTGGACATACTGTGTGCTGTGATTTAAATCACTGGAGTGGAAGAAAATAATTAAATAAGCCATGGTAAAACAGCATCATATAAACAAAGAACAACTAAATGATATAGCACGGATGGAGCCATAAGGACAGAGCACATTATGAAGGATTAGGTGAGAAATGAGCTAAAGGTATTCTATTAAGAAGAATACGTGAGGTCACCATAAAGCAGATATGGGGAGATTTGGGGTTGTCTCTGAGTCACCAAACTATTACTCATCAAGCACTATGCAATATTTTAAAAGCTGAGCATTCCAATATATTAACCTAGCTTGACCCTCACTTACTTCTTAATGCAATTCGTCATTAGTAGATGAACATCCTGTCTTTCGTCCAACAGCAGCATAGCTCCCAAATAACCTATTCGTTTGTCAGTGAACTTCTGGGATGCAATCAACTTCAGACATTCCAACTAAAAAAAAGAAGGTATTTGTCAGAAAAAGCAGGGCTTTGATTTTGTGACAAAGTGATTACTGAAAGCATAAAAATCCTTTTGTATCAGCAGTTGTCCTCCCAGTCATGCTTATAACAAACACACCTGTCCAAAGTGTGCCGGATAGCCCAACATGTGCATATAAAGTAGCTTTGCTACGTTTCTGCATCGGTACGTGTTATCTTCCTCCCTAAAAGACGAGCGGATAGCAGCACACTCTTTCTGGATCATCTCGCGCTCCTCTGCCTGGGTCCGTGCTGTCCGGATGGTCCGGATCAGCTCCCGCAGTCTGATCGGAGCTGGCATTTTCTGTAAAACACACAGGGAGGAATAAAAGAGGTTTACATTCAATGACAAAGGGTCAGCAAAAAAAAAAAAAAAAAAAAGAGGGATACTTCAACTTTATTTTGGCTTAGAGAATATTTACATGGTTCAAAGGATGTCACAATATCCTGATATAACTTGGATTTACGAACTACATGGTACAAACTTCGATAGAAACAGAAGGTATGGTGGCAGCATACCAGCAGATGAATAGGTAAGGCAACAATGTCGTCAGGGTAGATCTGGGACAACTGTTTGGACAAAAGTCAATAAACCTGAAGGTATACAATATTCTCAGTTTCAGTTTTTAAACTTCTCATTGTACAAAGTTAAAATGACTTGAATAGAAATGGTTCTGAAATTCAGTTTCTCAGATGTGTTACTTACACCCCCACTTTCCAATTAGCTTGCTTTTAAAAATGATATTACCCTACCAGTTGTGTTCCTTACTTAGGAGTACATTTAGTCTCCTAACAGCAGCTTTTATCACAGTACAGATTAGTTAAGGCGCTTAACAAAAGAGATGACGGTAATTACTTGTAGAATAAATCCATTTTCTCTTCAGCACCTAATGTGTAAATGGATCTTTCTAAAAGGAACAGAATAGTCTTTTACAGAGAGACCTTAAAAACATTGTGATTAAATAATGGACGACACTGTTGATAAACAACTTTGTCCTCAGTCTGTGTGGTATTTTGCTAAATGAGGGACTAAATTGATTAGTACCTTTAAAAGTAGAAGAAGAAAAAAAACACACACACAATTCTGCTGCTTTGAGTTTTCCTTTTGACCGAGAAAATTTGATGATTTTAGTATAGACATTTAAAAAATAAATAAAAAGAATCCCAAAAAATGAATAAATGTTTTTTTTGTTTTTTTAAATCAATAGATTATCAAGTCCAGCCTTTTCTGCCCCTGACCAAACATCTGAAACTCCAGTCTAACTCAGTCAGTCAAAGAAGAACAAGGTGGGGTCAACTTTGTGCTCCAACTCAAGAGAGCGTGAAATTAAATACTAAGTCTGTGGCACCATTCACAGAAAGGGATCTACGGACATATTTGGTTTTAAGCAATCATCAACTCAAAGTTCTTGAAGCAGATGCAGCTCTATTTGCTCTCTACAGCGGAATCAAAGTATATGTAAGAATCCATTGACTAAAGCCAGTTAAAACCATAATTATATGACATTTGTGGTCCGTAGAGTTGCTATTGTATGGAGCATACAGTGTATACAGTAAAGAGAGGTCACTTAAATACTAAAAATGTATTTATTTATTTTGAAGAGAGTAATTTGACTTTTGAAAAAAAAAATCAGGAAAAAATAAAACGGAAGATTGTTCTGCTTAAATTCACCAATTAATATGAGCTATTAGCAGTCATAGGGTAATTTGAAGAAGCAAGACATTAACCAAATACTTTAAAGAAATGACACTGTTGTCGAGCTTTATTAAAAATTTAAGAGATCTTGAACATCTCAGATAAATCCAATCTCCTGTCAGTATCATGTAAAGAAATAAAGATTAATATTTATATGCACTAAATTGTAAAACTGTAATGAATCAAACCCTGATGCAAGAAAAGACTCCCAGCTTTATCGTCATTCCAGTAAAAAGGTCTGTCTATGTTGACAGAAGCCTAATGAAAAAGTGACAAACGCCTATGGTCAGCTCTGCATTCAGAGAGTGGGTTGACTTGTTTTAAACAGAAAAAGACAACTTCCCAACCTTTTAAATTCCTATTACTAAGTAGACCAAAGTCACTTATTTGTTGTAATGCCAGTACAAAGTGAGAAATAAAAAATCAGACAAAGAGAGAAGAAAAAAAATCTCTTGTTGAGTAAGTTGGCAGCTTGTGGAGACTCAAAGAATTCACTGTGATCAAGGAGGAATGTGGAGGGTGGTCAGACGAGGCCACACGTTAATAAAGCCAAAGATCTACACCCTGTCCTAAGACCATTTAAATGACTTTAGCTGAAAAGACCTTGAGCTGAGCTCCATACATCATAGTTCCATGCTTCTCACTGTGTTTATAATCAACAAAGAGAGATCACAGAGGGTGAATAAGCCCCTGTTGAGTGCTAATTTAAATTTTGTATGGCAATAAAACAGGTCCATTCTTTAACAATAACAACGGAACAAACTTTAGTTTAAGCATGCATCACTGCATTTGTTTTTACTGCCATTTTAGGAAATAGCAGTTCATCGATCTCTGACCAAAACTTTTTTAAGTTTGTAGAACCGGGTTAAAACAGCTGTCAAAAATTCAATCAAGTAAGCAACTTCCAATGTAGCATATCAGCCACTCAGCTTATAAGAGTTCAAGCTCATTTTACGGCATTCTGGATCAGGAGGGAACAATCCAAGCCTGACATATTCAACACGATATGTCTCCTCTATTACGTCTATATTTTCAGAAATAATAAGCTAAGTGCCTCAAAGGGAGGTTGCAAGCAATACTGAACACCAATACCTGATTAATATTAAACATGCATAATAGCAGCAGTGAGGTTATTTGCGGCACATCCCTATGTTAGATAGCATGCCAGTTTCAGTTGTTGTTCGGAAACAACACTGTAAACCACTACAACAGAGTTTGACTTTCCTACAGTTTGGAGTGCCTAGCAGTCTTTGGTAAGTATAGACTTTTAAGAAAAGCTTGTCTTGCTTGGATGGGACAGCATCAGCTAAATGACAGCGGGACAGGGAGTAAGCAGTCACCAACCTACTGGACAGGTAAGACAGATTTGCCTTATCTCCCCATATCAGTTTCCACCTTTGTTTCAGAATCTCCAACAATAAAAATAAGTAAATAAAGTAAATAAATAAATAAACTCACGACAATTGGAGAATCTTTCGACAACAGCGTGAATGCTGATTTTACCATTTTCCTCTAAAGATAAAAGTCAAATGTAAGAGTGTGTTTGCAGGTTTTTCATTCAGTGGAGAAGTGACTTGAGCAACTTTATCACTGTCAGCACTATTAATGGTCAAATGCTTTTAAATGACATCATAGCCATCATTAAATATTCAACACAAGACAAGTTTTGATTATATCATGGATATCTCTTTCCCAAAGGCAAAAGAATTAATACTGCAGTTCAAAATGCTCATTGTCCTGAGGTTTGTGGGGATACTTTAAGAGTGTGGACCACAGTTTTCAACATTCACTAAGTAGGAGTAAACAGAAGTAACCTCTGGCCCACTGAACAGATGAAACACAGAAACAGACATGATCAAGTACAACAGATAATGCTGTAAGCAATATCAAATTGACATGCTGTTGAGGGCTGAATATAGCTGCAATCTGAGAAGGCTTCAACCTCAACTCCTCTTTGGCCATAGTCCTCCAATTTCCATGTCTGTGCGTGCATAGGGTCAGACATCTCTGTTCTTTTAGGGACAGAGGAAAAGTGATCATGATATCAAAATGGGCCCTATGCCCCGATTAATGGGGTGATGGGCCACAACCTCTATATCTCTGCAACAGAAAGGGGCCTCATATCCCGCCAGGCAGAACGCAAAATGGTGCGGTTAGACTGCCATGACAACCAAAAGGGTAAATGGCGAATAGATCTAAACAGGCATATATAATGATCTGTGACTATTTGCATTGAGCTGTGCAAAACTGTTTTCTTGTTAGACCAGGGTAGGTGTGGTTACCCATCAGCACCATCTTCCATCTTATTAGCCAGCTTCTTGGGCTATTGTAAATCTACCAAATGATCACCTGGGGATACTTAGAAAGTATTGATCTCTGTTGTCAGTCAGAACAGCACCATGGCATATAAGTGGGTGGATTTTTTTTTCTAGACAGATGAACAAGACCAAAAGCCTTGGAAGGGGCAGTGTGTCAGATTGAGAACAAAGTTGCCAAATGATCAGGTTCCACTTGTCTGAAAACAGCATTAGTGATACAAAAATTATTGATTTTAAACCATCTGCAAAACAATAACTGGTAAGTTCATTTCACCACCTCAAGGAGAAAGGAAAACCTGAACCCCTAGAAATATGGGTTAGACCCAAAAGCAAATCTCCCAGATATGCAGGAATGGCAGACTGTGCGTCACACTCACCAGCTCACTTCCTACTTACAGCTGACTTCCTTAGCGGTTACCTGTTCAAAGCAACAAGTGACACCGAGGTGGCGAACGTGTTTTTATCCCAAACATGGCAAATTGCAGTCGAAGTTTTAACACAGACGTTGCCAACACAGCATAACCATGTCAAGAAACTTCAGAAACGAGTCCACGTCCCCAGCCACCTGACGGTAGCTTCCTGGATATGCATAGCAAGGCTGACTCAAGGAAAACGAGTATGCAGTAAAACGCCATTTACTACAGTTATTAAAATGAAACAAATCACACCTAATACAAACACTGGCTAACAACGAGCTAAGACTGGTTTAAACTGAAAACCTCAAAGGGCAAGATGTTAGTTTGACTCCACAAACAGCAGCGCCTTCACCTTGGAAAGGTACCCTCTTTAAAATATGGTTTGAATCGCCGGTAATTCACAAAATTTATCAAGTTCAAATAAACCACAACAACTGAATGTGACAACCATTTGGTCAGGACATGATGCAGTTTAGGCCTTCTTGAGGCATTTGGATTATCAAGCTAGCGAATCCTCTGTAGCGTTAGCTAGCCACCTGACAATGCGTTAGTTTCTATATTGACATCACCGAACAAATCGGAAGCCGGGTGCCACATATACGTGCTAGAATGACAGACACCAACAATAATATTGGCCTTACGAGTTGCTGTGACAATTACGAGTAAGGGGGTAATCACAAGGCACACTCCTGATCTGCACAAACCTAGCTCAGCAGGTATGGCTATAGCTCTGAAGCATGCTAACCATGCTAGCAAACTTAGCTGCTGACAGGCACAACCCGGGTGCACTGAGGGCTGCGACTTCCTATGAAGCGCTACACTGAGACTTGACATCGTAGATACAACCGAACCACGTATCATTTCTGAAAAGCAGTGGCATTTTCACACGTTACTGTCGATATGTTATCCTTCGAAAGTACTTACAAGCCGTTGTGATACCAGAAAAGAACTGGAATCGTCTCTATTAGCAATGGAGGGAGGAACACACTAGACATGCAAAATGGTGGCTACTCCAGCCTTAGCACATCTACTGCAGGCGGAGGGTTACACTGACAGAGGTTGGTGAAAGAAGAGCGGACCCTCCGCTCAGGTTTGTCATCAGTGTATAACGTTAGCTTGGACCAGAGGAGCTCATCACAGCCTGCCTCTGACCGAGACCTCCACCTGATATGGTAGTGTTCACTGGACAACATGGGTAATTATTTAGTAATGTTATTGTAATAACGAGAGATGTGGCTATGCGTTTGTCCGTGAGATAGTTTGTGCCATTTAATAATGGCTGTCTTTCCTGTGAGCTTGGACGGTTTTCATCGTTCTCTCTTTGATATAAAGGGCTAACATCAGGATTGTTAACGATGGCAAGCTAATCTCATCAGGCATATACGTTTGTTTTTAAAAAATAAAAATACTTGGCTTTTGTTTCTGTTTTGATTAAATGTATGTTCTCTGTCATCTGTCGGAAACGTGGATTTCATGACACGATTATTTTCTTGAGATGGCAATATTTTTGCTTAACCTTGCGGAAGAGTACGTTTTCAGTCTGACAATGTCGTGCTACGGTCAGTTTACTCGTGGCATTCAGTGATGACGACTGCATGCTATGTTATGACAGTAGCAGCTCAGCGGCCTGTAGCACCACCCAGTGTTGTTTCCGAGTTGTCCGTGAATTTATACTTAAGGCTTGGCTTGATTAGTAATTCATAAACGGTTAGATAGGACACTGCGTCACCTTTGGATTTTAAGCATAAGCAGGCAACTAATCATAGTTATCCATATCATATTTTGACTAATATTATGTTTGGAGCCATTGTCAGATCAGGAGCACATTCCTTACAGTCATATAGAATTGGCATAAGTTTTATGGTCACTTTTCAGAAACTTAAGATCCCAGCTTCAGGTGCTATAAATCTTATTGTGTATACCACAGGATCTATAATCTAGGATTATTTCCTTTCAATATAATGAATGGCAAAACTGTTGGTTCATCATTATACTGTAAAAGGATGACATAGAGACTTTGATAGTTGGTTAGATCTATGTTAATGAGTTTAAATAATTCATTTCTAATTTCTAATACTTACGTTGGATAATTCATGCAATAAACTTTTATGCATTTTTTTTAATCATTGTTGAATTCTTTATTTCTGTACGTTTTTTCTGTTGAACAAAAAACTTTCCAAGTCTAAAAAAAATCTCTCAGATCTATTGATGAATCAGTAATTTGCATTTTATTTGTAAATTCAAATCCTTCTTACAATATAGTGCAGTAACAGGGTAAATCAAAACACGCTACACAATTTGTTCCATTAACTTGAAGGTTTAAGTCCAGCTATACCTGTTTTTTGTTTATTTATTTTTCTGAAAGTAAGTACATTTGAAATTGTAGATCTAAATATTTTAAAATCAATGCAGTCAAGTCTAAAACTAAATGTCAATGTACTCAAACACAAGACTTGAAAATGTATTTCTGGATATGGAAATGATTGATTAACAAGAGTATCATTAGATCTTTATTTCACCAGAAGGTAGTAACAGGTTTCATTTTTATGCTTAAACTGGCTTAATTCTTAAACTAATTAACGCCATCTCTCCCAATGTCAGTTAGGACTTTTCAACTAATTTTTAATCTGGTGTGAGTTGTGTTCAGGTTTTTTGGAAATGGGACCATGCGCATAATGGCTGTAAATATGTCAGATTTAAGCACTTTTAGTACTTGCTAAAGACAGTGATCATTCTACTACATTCATGAGTTCACTATTATCCATATACCTCCTCATGATTTTGACATCTTTAATCAAACTAAATGTATGTTTCCTTTTATTATCACGCAAAATGTTAAGTAGTAGATGTTTTTTGTTTTGTTTTAAGTATTTTCTCATAAACTTGTAACTTCATCGAACGATTTTGAGTTAATTAAACATTTCCTCCCACATGTCATGAACGCAACATTCTACCTCCTGCCCGAACTCCCCATCGTTATTCTGCATATCCCACAATGCTGTGCGGCGAGGCTGCATTTATTTCTTCTTCTTTTGCGCTGGCGATCAGCTGAGCTCGTGCATCGCTGCAGTGAGCGCACGGCGGCTCGCGGCTCGGGAACGGAGCAGCTCGGGGCTGCTCGCCGACCCTACTCGGACATAATTTTAAACCCCCTGACCGGCCGGAGACGGGGTTTGATTTTTATGCTTTAATGATGTGACTCCCACAAATATATATTCGTTTGGGATGTTTTTTTTAGTGTTTTTTTTTTTTAGCTTGTTTAAATGACTCCTCGAAGACTTTTCTTTCTTCTCAGAGGAGTGAATAGTTTGATCAGGTTTCGCATCATTTCTGTCATCCGTCCCCTCTGTGCGGAATCCACCTGGACTTGCCTCAGGGTAACGTCCGGGATAAGGAGATTGTATTTCTTTTTTTACCCCCAGGAGTGGGATATACTATGTCCAGGCGAAAACAGACCAATCCCTTCAAAGTTAACTGTAGGTATTTCAGGTCTTGTCTATGTACTATTCCATGGCACCCATCATCTGTTTAAATTTTGGTTTCATCATTTTCCAGAAGCGACTAGCTTCAGGAAGAATTTTCGCAGTCCTCATGTTGTTCATTGTTTGTAATATTGATGTACCCAAACAAAATATTACTCATGTAACACTACATAATCGGGAGTGTATTTGGTCATAACAGTAATTTAAATATTGCTGATAGTCTGTTTTAATTCACATCACATTTTCCTTTCAGAGTTGGGATGAATGTCTGATTTGAATTTGGCATATAATTTATGTGAGAGCTTTCGGGACTCTTGTTTTGATTGATTTTTATTATTATTATTTTACTTCAGTTGTTGCCACAGGCATTAGAAGAAAACAAGAACAATAAATGGTGTTGAAAGGTGTTACCAAGAACCAGTTAATGTATAAGACTTAAATCTTAAAAGTAGCTGTTACTTATGATAGAAATGGCATAGCTTGTACATACGGTATGGAGGTGTTAATGTGATCATCACCTCGATCTCCTCTCATGCTCCACAGTGATGTAAATGTCACTTTAAGGTTTCCGTGCGCCTCACTAGACGTATTGTTTCGGTCCACACCAACATTTCTGGCATTGTTTTCACCTTTTGAGTCTTTCTGTGTGTGTGTGTGTCCTCTAAAAGAAAGATGTCCTAAAGATAAGCAGTTATGCAGGACCTACTACACAGGTGGTTTAGAGTACTTTGAGACAGGTGTCTGTTAAGAGATTTAGTAATCCTGTCATAAAAGATTTTCAGTCATAAAACTCCACTCGTGTGAGACTGGGAACTTGGTGCAAGCCAAAGATGGTTGTGGTCAAAGACTGCTGTGTACTGCTGTGCGGCTGTATTGCTTTTAATTTTACATGATGCTAAAAACAATACTGACCCTGCAACCAGAGTGTGTAGGCATGTGTGTTTGACCAAAATGACACATAACTGTGTCTCTTAAAACCAGGTTAACCCTCCCAGATACCCAAATAATGCAGCTGGTGTTAAAACTGCTGTCGCTCTGCTCTAATAAAATCCAGATTTTCACACCCCAGCACCATTTGATACAATCCACCAAGTCCAGTAAGTTTAAGACGGTTTAAGTGTCAGCACAGTGAATTCAGCCATACTTACACCCACCATGGTCTCCCACAGACAAAGTTAGAAGCGGCAGAATAATTAAGTTCCACTCCACTGGATGTGTGTTTAGACAAAAACTTTCACTAATTACATCAAGCTTTATGAATACGTGGCTATTTTATATTTTTATTTTTACTATTTATAACATGATTACACCTTTACTGGATAGTATAGTTACATATTTAACCCAAACCAAATAATTTGAGTTGAAATTGGTATTCGTAATTGAAGGAAACCCCTATGCTGTAGATTCAAGTGGGAGTCTTTTCTGGCCTCCTGCCAGGTCCCCCTTATTGGACAATATTCTAACCTGTTATCTTGAACAAGTTGGTGTCCGCTCAGAGGGATTGCCTTGTATAATCTACTGAAGTAATGCTCGGTGCCGCCCTGAGTTCTAAACATAGTTTGTTTAAACCACTGTAAAAATACATATCACACTTACGGATACGGTAATCCCTGGAAGCTAATGAGCTCATGTGTCTGCAACACCTAGAAACATCCAAAGTGGCAGGTAGAAACCCAAAGAAAGGCCAAATGCAGATTTAGATCCACATTAAACTGTGAACTTCTTGCTGTGGTAAAAGCTATCACTGTTTGAAACCTGAGACACCCTCTCTTCCTCTCAATGTGTTGTGTGGATTGACTTCCTTCTACTTTGACTCGATTTGCTTGTTTGTTTCTTATGAGGAATGATTTGCCTGCAAAGAGCTGTCCCTCCCCGAGAGGGTCAAACCACACAGATAGACTGACAGACCAGACAGGCAGCCGAGGAGACAGTCTGACAGGCAGGCGGGCTGACACACACACGCACACACACACACACACAGAGGGAATTCCAGACAATGATCCAACAGTGTGGTGTGTGTTCCTACCTGTGTGCTTCTTCAAATTCTGATGTTCAACCAGATCAAGAAACCCTACACTCATGCGAAATATGCATTAATTATTTAGTGTTTTGCACAGTCAAGGCTTATGGGAAAGAATATGGAAAAGAAGATACTTTGTTTTACAACCAACATGCTTGGCTGTAGTTTCATATTCATCAAGCACCTAAAATATAAGAAGGTTTTGTTTATTCCACAAAATGGAACCGGAGCAGAAACACATCAATACTTTTGTTGTTTGACTTCATAGTTGTTTTTTGCCACTAACGTTACCACGATATGATTAGGTATTTATGCCTTGGACTGCGTTTTGACTGTAAAGCTTTGGGCAAGCATCAGGTGCCAAACTAACCAAAGAGTGTTTTCCGGCTAAACGTAAAAGTGCCTAACGACCTCTTCCTTTGCAGAACTAGGTCAGCCCGTTAGCAGCGAGAATTGATCAGATGTCTGGCCCACCGTCCTGGTTCTCCTGGTTGTGTGTGGATGGAGCACAGGGCCCCAGAACTTCCTGCAGTTTCAGACAGTGTTGTGTGGATGTGTGTGCTTTGGAGAGCAGAAGGAGGGGCCTTTGAATTCAGCAGGACCCCCATTGCTTGGTGTTTGAGTAGAGTTTTGGCATTCTGTCTTTTGTCTGTTTTGTTTTGCGCGCTAACCACCACCACTACCCCCCCACACACCCACCCACCCACTCACTCCCCTCTCGTTCCTCTGCGCGTCTGTTGGCTGATGAGTTTGTCTCTTTGTCTAGATTCAGTCAGACACTGCGTCACCTCCTGCCTACAGACACACAGACGCAGAGATAACATCACAGTGGCAGAGACTGGGGGAGGGAGGGAGCAAGGAGAGACAGATGTACAGACAGCACTGGTAGTTGGGGGATGGGTATTTCTCACACATCAATCATTGGCGATGTGCCGAGGAGCCGGCTTGCTGTAGTAGTAGTTGATAGTTTCATTCTTGGACCATCTCTTGCACTGCTAATGGACATCAGGACTGCCGTTAGAAAGTGCCCAAACTCACAAACCCGAAGAGTGTACGTCTGATTTCCACAGACCCACCGGGAGAGGGCAAGTGAGCGTGTGTACATGTGCGTGCGCGTGCACAGTACCTCAGGATTGTGATGAGGGCTGAAATTACTTCTGTCAGTCTCAGGTAACTGAAGCCACGGCCTCCCCTCCATCTCTGACCTGTGGCCATAGAGAGAGAAAAACTGGATCTTTTAGCCGTCATCATTTTCAAGCAATATGAGTTCCTGTGTGTCAATAACAGAGGGGCTTTCAAAGAGCTGTGTCTAATGAAGCAGGGCTTGGAGTTAAATGCAGGCGTGCAGGGTCAAGTGTAATAACAAGGAAAAGTGGAGGATTACATCGCATCCCAGAGCCAGAAAGGTTGGCCATGTAACAAAAAGTGGCAGCACAAGGAGGGAAATGAGCCACATATGGGCTGCTTTTGTGCAAAGCTGTTTCCTCCCCCCTACAGCTGAAGGTATAGATATGGAAGTGGCCAGAGCTCCGCATAAGCAGGGAAGACGGAGTGATTCAGCCTGCTCTGTGTGTGGGTGGTGCTGAGAGAGATGGAGAGAGGCACACGGAGCAGCTAAGCAGTTAGCTGGAGGAAAAGAGGCTGCTTCTCCCCGTGGGACTGCAGCAGGGCTGTCGGAACAGCTAGCATGTATCGGCGTGTGAAACGGTGGGGGTTGGGATGCAAATTAAGTTAATGTTCATGCATGTATATCAGAGGGCTCGCCTCACTGGCTTTGAATGCGCCGCGAATCAGTGTTGGACGGCTCTCATCAAAACGGGCTGAGCTGTTGTAAAACCTGTCTCTTCGGTTGTCATAGGTGTCACTGGAACCTGAGGTCATGAATCCTGATCAGTGTAAAAAATCCATCTGCTTCTCACAGGAGGTAGAACCTACACAGACTCATTCGCCTCTAACTAACTGAGCCTCCTAAAAAACAACAACTCCCTGGCAGAGATCAGCTAGTGATGAATCAACTGTTTGTTTTTGAACTAAAGATCATTTTCTGAATGCATCGCAGCAGGTGCAGCACCTGCCAACATCCCAACATCCTTATTTTTCCACCCAAAAAGTCAGAGTTACTACTGTTTGTTCGTTAGCGCATCTGTTCAAATATTACAAAGCGAAGTTTCCTGAAACTAACATGGACTTACAGCTTTGGCAGAGGAAGAACATATCAACACACAGCACCATCCATGTCTTCAGTCACACCAGTGCTCAGTTGTCAGAGGCCTTCATCACAGATTTATTTGCCATAATTTAGATAACTTCTTCTAATAATGTTAGCTCTGTATAAAAACTGATGTAACGTTGGAACTGAAAAGCTGCTTTTGTTGGCGTCCCTCTTACAGAACATGTGAGTGACACGCACAAACGTGCTCGTACAGTGAAAATGATGCCTTTTATGCTGTCATAGGCAGTCATTTTCTCACCTTCTTGTGGTATGCTTTCACAGCAGATGCTCTTCCTGTGTTTCTATGGAGATAAAGAAAAGATGCAGGGATACAATGTACAGCCTGAACAGGGGCTTTTATCCTGAGACGCCCCTCAGTTAATAATGTCTTTATTGTATCGGGTATATGGACACATAGAATATCCACATAGATAGTGGAGAATATCCACAAGAGATAGTTTTTTAAAAGATCCTTCGTGTGTCTGCAGTGACGCGTCTCCTCCTGTTGACATCATTCGTGGCATGCGTGACGCTGCCTTTTCTTTGTTTGCTGTCTGGTAAAAATGTTTTACTCGGATGTAGAAACCAGAAAAACAGGCTTGTTTCCCTACTCATCACTTGCAACTTTAAAGATAAAAGAAGGTCGATTTTGCTTTCTGTAGCATTTAAGAAGTGTCAAAAGACTGTGCTCACCCCCTTTTATCTCCCATCATTAAATCCCCTCGTAGCATTTGGAAACACGCGTCTCACTATATATACTTCTGTCTTTTTTTTTGTCTCCAGGGCCATTCCACACTTCAGGATTAACAGGACTTCAGCACACTATTAACATGGACGGCAGGGACGAGTTCATCGAGGACAGTGAATGCTGTAGCAACAACTCCCAGGAGGTCCATGGGCAGGATAGCTTCTCAGGTACAGGATGGAGGGATGGGGCAGAGGAGCACAGGATGGACTCTGTGGGAACATCCTCAGACGGAAAGGGGTGTTGGTGAGAATAAGCCCTGCTCTGTGTTCTGTTGTGTGTCTGTATTGATAGGGCTGTGTTTGCCTCCATAGAAGAAAGCGATAGCGACCCCGACAACCACGGTGAAGACTCGTCCTCCAATGCCTCTCTGGACGACCACATGACCACCAAGAGAACGCAGTGCCGCCTTCAAGGAGCGGGGGTCAAAGAGGTACGTCTCCTGGAGCAGGTTCTTCGTTTTACCCCCTAAATTGTGACCGTAAACTCCAGCTCTGCCCTCCTGTTAGGCAGCAGGCCACCGTGTTGTGAGGCTTATGGTGTAAACAAACAAGTACACTGAACTCCCCACAGCTGAATGGGTGATATAGATATTTTCCGTGCCATCATAACAGGGAGAGATGCTACAGCTCTTGTGTGGGCTGCGAAAGCGATACATTTAGTCCCTGTTTTTCCGTTGCCCCTGTGAGTCTGTGCGATGGTGTTTGTTTATTGGACGGCGCGGTGGTGTTGTGTTTATCACCGACGCCTGCCAGCCTGGGCCCCGGTTCTCTCTGTGTGGAGTTTGTATGTTCTCCCTGTATCTGTGTGGGTTCTCTCCAGGTACTCAGGCTTCTTCCCACCATCCAAAATCCTGCATGTTGGGTTAACTGAACCCTCTTGCTATGAGGGGATGGTGCTAACCGCTTTACCTCCATCATATTCAGTAAGAGGAGGAAGACATATTTGAAATCTACTTAAATCAAATTAAGTATTTTGAGTGCTACGCTATCTTTTAAAACCTATATAAACATCAAGGAGCAAAGTTTTCTGAATACCACCTTGGGTTCAGCCAGTATGTTCTGTGCCTGGACCTTCTGTTTGCAAATGTTCTGTGTTTCAGCGCTCAGCATCATGTTGCTGTTAATGAGTCACTGAGGCCATGTCAGGCACGCAACACATCGTCACACACAAACAGGGGAAAGATGTTTCCAACAGAAACATGTTGAGCTGGTCGCGGCCGGAAGCTGCTTTTAGCTTTATTTTTCTTGTCTCTGTTTTTTGGAAAATGTCAAGTTTGTGGCGCACTGTTGTGAATTTTGGACAGTTTTCTGGATTTGCTCCTTAAAGTGACTTTGGCTTTCCTCAGGAGAGCGAGGAGGGCGCAGACCACAGCAGCAGCTTTGTTTGTCCTCTGTGCACGCTGGATTTCAGCAGCCCTGAGAAGCTCATCTCGCATGTCTACCAGGTGAGAACGGCTTTACGTCAGTCCCATAAACACACATTAGTGCTCTCTGACATTCGGTGCTTGAGCGAATCTGGAGCTGTGCATAACAATCAGGGGTGGAATGAATTATGCGAGTTTCAGTGAACACTTTCTGGAGGATTTGAACCACGTCATATTTCTTCCAGGCTAATGTGCGACTCATACCAGCAGTCTCATAAGTCAAAGTAATATCATTTGCAACTTTAATGAATGGACCCAATTACAACGGTGATTAGTTAACAGACCTGTAATTGATTGTCGGGGCAGTTGTTGGCACCACATTTATCTTAATGAATGTCCTTGATAGTGGAAAAAGAAGCTGCCAAATAAATGAAAGAATTCTATCAGGTCATGTGTGTGGTTTTTCTGTGAAGGCCATTAACGAACGCGATATTTAATGAAATGCATGGTGGCCACACCAGCAGCTGGGTCAAACTTTTAGCTTTTCAGTTTCGTAAGTGCTCTAAATACATTAGTCAGGTAGTCAGTGCAGTGCACAATGTTGTCATTCGTCCATTAGCTTTTTTTGTATAATACATGAAACACTGCAAAAAGTCGCCCGTCGTCACCTTCTAAGGTTTGGCTCGGAGCGCTCCTCTCACTTTGCCGTCTCTTCCAGCACACGACCATGATGAGCAACACCAAGAGCTACGTGTGCCCAGTGTGTGGGCGAGCCCTCAGCTCTCCCGGCTCACTTGGACGGCATCTTCTCATCCACTCGGAGGACCGCCTCTCCAACTGCGCCGTCTGCGGCGCACGCTTCACAGACACCAACAACTTCAACAGGTTCCTGCGTTGCTTCTCTGGTGTCGGGCCGACTTACAGCTCTTGATTCAAGTTGAAAGTTGCCACCTCTCTGCGTTTTTGTGTGATTTCATAACAAAAAAAAGCAATTTCTAATCTTTAAACATGCTTTTGGACGGGTGCGTTAAAGCCTTTCAGCAGGTCAGGCTGTTGATACAGATGATCATTGAAATGTTTATATACTTCACATAAAAGTGTCCCATGCATGAGGCATAAATGGAAAGATAACTGAATGAGAAGTTGTTCAAAATGCAGACACATATTTCTTCAGACAGCCCGCTGACATAAATGGATCGGTCTTTTAACTGTGAGCCAGACTGCAGAACATGAGGGATGCATACAATTAGCAAAAACAGATTTAATGGAAATAAACTTCCACGTTGCTTAGCAACTACCATTAGGTTTTAAAATTAGACGGCACTGGCAAGGTCAGCGCGGTGAAAGGACAAAGATGGGAAGTTTTTCGTTTAGTAAGTCCCTGGAATTAAAAAAAGATATAGTAAAAGTTTAGAAATGCACAAACTTAGGGGCTGGCGGATGGAAGCAGACATCTGTTCTGCAAACAGAAGAGTCGGCTCCTGTGAGACGCATCGCTGTGTGCCATCAGCACATGACACACGTCGGCAGCATAACTGTTTTAGAAGTGAGTAAGAGGGAGTGAGTCATCTTTTTGTCGTTTGGACAACATGGTTTCATGTTATGTTGACCACAGCAGACAACGCTGGCCATCAGTCCAAACCCCCTTCGTTATCAAATGAAGACGACAGGATTTGGCTATAAAAACATTGAAAGACTGCAGTCTAAACTGACACATTCATCTTCAGTTGTATTGTAATATTACACACCTTTTTCTGGCCTTACTTTTTAGAAAATGTTCTTAAGTTAGAACACACAAACTGTATCTTGGATCTGATATATTGTCTCCTACTGACATCAGCGTTGTGTCTGATCTCAGGGAGAAGCTCAAAGATGTCCTGGACACAACCAGGATGGATGTGAGCGGTGGAAGGGACGCCTGTTCCATGTCCCACTCCCTGTCCAGCAGCCCCATGAGCAGCCCGGGCTCCTGCCAGGGGCCGGGCCCCAGCCCCAGCTCCTGTCAGGGTCCACGACTATGTCAGGCTTCCGAGCCCAGTCCCAACCTCTGTCAAGCCACTCGCACCTGCCAGGGCTCCGGCCACATGTCCAGCCCGTGTCAAGGCCCCGCACAGTGTCACGGTTCAGGTCCTGGACCTGGACCCTGCTCAGGACCGGGGCCATGCGCGGGGTCCGACCAGGGGCCCTCCTTCGCCTCTCTCCCCGACGGCCTCCTGTCCGAAGGGCCGTCGCTCGCCTCCATCCCGGACGCTCTCAACTCCTCCTCCTCAGGCCTTCCTCCCATCCCCGACATCCTGAGCCCCATGCCCGTGTATCCCGCCGGCGTGCTGCTGGTGTGCAACAGCTGCGTGGCCTACCAGCAGCTCATGGAGGCCCAGTCGCCCATGAGGAAGTGGGCCCTGCGGCGGAAGAACGAGCCCCTGGAGGCGCGGCTGCAGCGGCTGGAGCGCGAGCGCACGGCCAAGAAGAACAAGCGGGCGTGCGAGTCGGAGGAGGAGCGGGAGCTGCGGAGGCTGCGGGACCGCCAGGCCAAGCGCATGCAGCGCATGCAGGAGACGGAGGAGCAGCGGGCGCGCAGGCTGCAGAGAGACCGCGAGGCCATGCGCCTCAAGAGGGCCAACGAGACCCCCGAGAAGAGGCAGGCCCGGCTGGTGCGGGAGAGGGAGGCCAAGAGGATCAAGCGGCGGCTGGAGAAGATCGACCCGGCCCTGAGGACGCAGATAGAGCACGACCCGGCCGCCATGGCGGCCCTCACAGCGGACATGAGCCTCTTCCAGTTCCCCTGCCCCATGCCCGTCCCTTCCATTGATAACGGCCTCTTCATGAAGCTCCCCTAACTGTGCCAGGCCAACGATGGTGGGGGCTCAGTGTCTTCTGGCTGCATCCCTATCCCGTGCGCTGTGCCACCAGGGTACCATGGTGACAGCGGATCAGCCTCCGGTGTGTTGGACAGCTTCACACAGACCACTTTGTTAAATACGAAAAGAAACTTGTACAATTTCTAATTTATTACAGTCTATAAAACCTTGGGCACAGGGTTTCGAATGTTTCATACTGTATGGATGACGACAACCAAGCATGTTGTAAAGAGATTTATCTGTTTGTCAGTGGACTTGCAGATCTTACACAGTTCTTGTTAGTTGAAGCAGTTATTCTTCCCTGGAGGGGGAAAAAAAAACAAAACAACCTTTTGCACATGCACCCTCAGCGAGGGGAGTGGGGACTCAGTAGCCACAGCCTCCTCCTTTTCGGGTCCACGCCGCCAGCCCAGTGACTCTGACCCACGGGCAGCTACACCTCTCTCTTCAAGCTGCCGTGGCCGTGACTTCATCAAACTACTACCTCAGCCGGCGCCGTGGCGGCGCTCTCTGTCCTGTGGCTCGCAGCCTCCCATCTCCAAGCTTCCAAAGCTCTACATTCACCGGACACTACAACAAGAGGATGCAGGTTTTTTACCCATTCAGGCACTTTAATAGGACGCCTACATTCACACGTACAGCAGGCAGGGGTTGGCTCTGCGTTCAGAGCAGGCGAATCGGAATGTCTGTCCTATTGAACATGCCCAGTGTTGAGTAACATTCCTCTCATCTCCTGAGTTGGGAGCCTTCATGCATCCACCTCTTTACATTCTCGTTTGCCAAGATTTGACTCCTAGAGAAATCTGTTGCCAATGCCTCATTTTTTTTTTTGTTACAACTTTTTGTTACAGAGCGTGTTATTAGCTCATAAAAGTCTGTGCTGCTGTTATTGTACTGTACTATACATTAGTTACCTCTCATATATATATATATTTATATATATATTCTGGGCTCATCATCTATGTGTATGTGCTAAATTTTTTCCTAAGTGGTTACCATGGGAAAAAGTACCTACCGTGTTACCTATTGACCTCAGAATTTGTGACATTACTTGAATTCTGCCTGCAAAGTTGCTTCTGTTTTCTGACTAATGAGGAAACAGCAACATGAGAGTTTGCCAGTATTGTATAGAGAATCCCTCACAGATAACATAACCTCTGCTTTGTGCAATTCCTGTAGCTTCCTCATGCTTTGTAAGGCTGCAGTACCTTCAGAAAAGGTCAACAAGAATCACTTAAATTATTTTTCTACCCGTAATTAGGGAGAAGCATTTATCAAGTAGCATTATAGTTGGAGGCGACTCAAAAAACAAGCCAAGTAAAGGGTTTGTTCCACTTATTCCTTACTGAGCACTGGGGCTAAATTCTGTCTGGGAGATGTTGTTCATCATGTTTCATTAACCCCATTCCAGCACATATTTATGCAATATAATTTTCTTGCGAAAGCAGTTGGGGGCGGGGGGCATTTGAGCTGGTTTAACATTGTTCTAGCACAGATGCCAAGTCTGGATATCCTTTGTTTTTTTTTCCTGCCTGGAAGGTTACCTCCACTTTTTTCTTGGCTCCTTCTCTCCAGGTGCAAAACCTTCCAGCATCAAATGAGAAGTTCCACAAACATTCTCCAGTTTGTTTGAATTCCTTCCGGTCGGCCCACCGGGCTCTTTGCAGACTGCAGTTTTAACAAATAGAGAGAGAGAGGAAAAAAAACGTGGGGATTTTCGGTCTCATTCTCAGAGAATTTGCAAGGAGAGTGCATCATACTTCTATGCAGCAAATGTGACGTTCACCGAGGAGATTGATTTCACTTTTCACTGAAACTATGCAGAATGCGGCTTTAAAGGATTTTTTTGGGGTTTAAACGCACTGCAAAATGAAAACATTCCGCTTCTCAGGCTATCTAACTCAGTGAGAGGGCTCAGAGCATTAATCCAGCACCATATGATCCATTTCTCCACCTGTCGTGTCACGTTACGGGAGCAGCAATTGGGAATCCTGTGACTTTTCTAGAGAAGCTTTGTTGTATAAGATAAAATGTGCTCTCTCTTTCAAGCTCAGCCCGTAAACGCAACAGGGTCTCACTGCCATTCTATTCACTCTACCAAGGGCAGATCATCGTTCACCACCCAGGCTTCAGGTGTCATTTGTTCCTCTTTCCGACTATGAATACTGGGTATTCTCAAAGGTGGCTCCTTTAAATTGCTGCGATCCTTTTTGGTCCTGCAGTGGTCAGAAAGCTTCTTGCAGCTGGAGTAGGGCGGAGTCCGAAGTGTAGTCTGGATTAGCTGAACACTGCATGTTGTGATGCTGCACTCGTCCCAGAATGGTTTAGTTTGAGCTCGTGTTATACTGTTAGTTTATGCCTGCTTGTTTTTTACAGTAATCAAAATTGTTTTTTAAAAAAAGAAAAGAAAAAGTTGGCCTTTCACTATTAATTGTATCAGGATTTTCCCTCAATGTCCATGTTTACAGAATATTTATTTCCAAACAAGGCCAAATGAATGAGCAGAACTGCTACCAACAACATGCTAGTTGTAATATCAATGCATTCTAACTGGGTGGCACTTTCAGGACCCCATCCTCTTACTGAATTAACAAATGTACAGACGACAAAACCTGGTGAAGAATGTGGAAATAAACATTGAATTTATTTTAAAAAAGTGACTGGTGTTTTCTGTTCTATTTTTCTTTTTCAAATGACGGGATAATAAGTGCCATGATGGGGTCTTTAAAGGTGTAACTGTTAAAGGTACTCACTACCAATCATGTACTGATATTACACATTTATTATGCATACATACAATTACTGTTTATCTGTTCGGCTTTCAACAGTTTTGTCATTTTCCCACTTTGTTTTGTGTCATACATATATTTCTATGGGGAACCAGGTGTGAGTAAGATACCTGTACATACTGTGACGTCTAAAGCTAAACAGGAACTTACCAAAGCCCGATCCTGTCAGAAATATCAAGAAACATTCCCACAAGCAAAATTACACAAACACATGCAGGCATCCAATAAACACTGTCAGTGTTGTATGCAAAAAGAAGCAGCACACAAGGTGGAATATGGTTTATATTTATATTTGTATATATATTTATATATATATATATATTATATTGTTTACTTAACAAACATGATAAATGCAATGTCTCCAAGTTAGCTGTAACAATAAAAATACAATATCTTTGTGTCCTTAAAGTACATAGAATTAAAACAGCAAAACAAAAAAACAAAAACCGCCCTAAGTAGTTCACAGAGGTACAAATATACAGTACAAATCTATTTTTTTCCAAAAAGGGTACAAATAAAAATGCAACAAAATAGAGATATTAATGCTTTGTTAAAGTCAGGTAGGTGTGGGGTGTTCTAAGGGAGCACTTTGGGTCAACAACGCTAAGGCTTCTGATAGAGATAAATACATATTGGTACGGCCATACGATATTAAACCTCACTATACAAAGTTCATACCACCTGGGTTATACTTGAGGATTGAATGTTACATTTACACAATTGCATATATTTTGCAGATTTAGGCATTTAAAAAAAAACAAAAAAAACATCTGTTTTTTTTGTTTGTTTTTTATGATAATCACGTCACATGGAAAGCTGTGTCACCTTGTGCAGAAAAAAAAGTATTCATTTAAAATGGGAAAATACACAGACTTCCTTAAAAACTTTGGACCATTTGCATTCTACTGATTTGAGATGACAACGGCAACTCGCACGTTAAGAAAGAAAAAGGAAGAGAAGAGAAGATTCCTATATTCACCGTTGCAGTTCCACAACCGGACTGACAGGACGTAGTTCACAACAATGCTGTCACGAAGAAATAAAATGGAGCCATCACATTTCCACCAATGGAAAGCTCTGAAGACCTGTGCAGCCCGTCTCCTTCAGAGACGTGCATCCAGCACAGAACACCAAACTATTCCATTAATTCTAGGGATTTAGAAAAAAAAAAAAGTTTAAAAGACAGATCTTGTGCAAAAAGAATAAAAACCACAGATCTGTGCTCGTCTGACTGTCTGTGTGAACGGACCGCCCTCCACTGCGGACACTCCGAATCATCATCATCATAAAAATAAAACGTTTTTAAAAAGTGCAGAGAAAAGCTTCCATTTCCTTTACTTCAACATTGTGAAAACGTACAAATTACTTGTCAATGAGTATAAAGAATATATTAAAATTGTAACTGGACAGGAAAAGAAGGAAGAACAAATGATGGGGGGGGGGGTTTCATGTAGCCATTATTCCTGCTAATAAACTGGATCTTTCTCATTTGCTTTTGTACAACCTGAAAAGGGATCACCCATTCTTCCAGAAGCATTACTCCAAAGTTTCAGTTTCACACATTGTACAAAGCAAAAACTTAAGGCATTATCAACAAGCGTCATCGTGGCTATCTGCACGGAAAAAGAAAGTCTATCTACAGGAACACAAAACCTGCCAGCTCTCCGGGATTTTGTGTGCTTCCAAAGTCTTCAATTCACCAACAGATTTCGTTTTCAGAACACTGTCAAGGAGACACATAGTGCAATTACTTACAAGAGACCAGAAGTGGTGTGTCTAAAATTCATCAGACGTCTTTGTTTAAGTACAAACATTCCTGCAAAACGCCTCTCGAAGCAAAAGGGGCCAGAGCGAGAAGGCTGGCGCGCGGCGCTCTGGCTGTGGGATCTGAAAGCGGGTCAAGTCACAGCTGGCACTGCTCGCATCGCTGCGTCCTGACCTAAAACGCAACACTGAGGTTTCACAACTTCAGCGATTGTGCTGAAATAATACCGGACACCAGCGTCAAAGTGGAAAGTGGAATTTGGCTCTGACTTGAGTGGCCTAATAGGAGGAAAAGGACAGTTCACTCAAAGTTTTACCGTCGGTCACTCAGAGACACTGAGCATGAGAGCAAAACCCGGCTTTGAATTCCTATGAAAAGGATCTGTTTTCAGGTAAAAAGCTAAAGCCGGACGTCAGCATAAAAAGGGTTGCTTTGGCCGACAGAGAACAGTACTGAGATTACTGCATAGAACATGCCAAGACTACACCAAACGTGGTTATTCGAAATATTGCTTACAAACAGAAAAGTGACGAGATAAATAACCGTTTTTTCAAAATGAGAAGTAAAAACTACACCACCTATTTCTACACTTGTGCATTGAGGAGATGTTGATGGCAACCGTTCCACCGGTCCCTGCTGAGGGCACGGAGACGCCTCCCCCGGCCTATTCTCCAGGGGAGGGGGTGGGATAGAGAGAAAAACAAGTCCACGTTAAATTCAGCTACAGACCATGCGAGGCCTTGACAATTCACTTGGGAACCCCCCCCCCCCAAGAGAAGTTTCTTTAGTGTAAAAACTGCAGGGGACATGCAGTTTCTCCAGTAAATGCAACTCTGGGAGATGCTCGCTTGATTTTTCCAGCTGTGTGCTGCACCGGGGGAGTAGCATGGGGGGGGGGGGCGTCCTAGGGCTAAAGAGGGCGATAAGAACTATTCCAGTGACCGATGGCTCTTTATGTGCACGCGAGGGAATTTAAGGAAGGGTTTAAAGCTTCTTGCAATGGCAGAACCAGAGAACGGCGACTCCCTGCTCCCAGCAGGTGGACAGCGGATGAAGATAGATATTTAAAAGTGATGGAACCATGGGCCAGAGGTGAGTCCAGAGAGGTCCCGCAAAAAGACAAAAAAAGAAGAAAACAAAGTGACCTGGCGTGGAGTTGTCTATACTTTCTTATGGGAATGTCTGTGTGAGGAATGCCGTTTGATTAGAAACCTTTGAATGATGTGTGGGTCTAATTGCACTTATTTTTACTGACATCCTTTTAGATATATTTTTACACCCCCTCCCAACCAGAAAAACTAAAACTAAAACTAAACTAAAACAAGCTAAAGGTGAGGGGGTAGAAACTGCAGCATTCATCTTGGCTAATTTGTAAACATTTAGAATCAAAAGTCAGTTTTGCCCCTTTTGCCACCAAAAAACGGAAAGAAAGCACAAAAAAAACTTCAAACATATTCCCTTCATGTAAAAAAAACTTAGACTCAAAGTCAGTGTGAAATCAGTGGGCGACATCTGTGCAGCACAACAATCTTAAGATCCACTGGATAAGGACCACTTTTTTTTTTTTTTTTAACACCAACTGACAGATCAAAACACAACTAGCCTCTGGCCTCTTCTGGAGAAGCACTTCAGATCATTCACACACCCCAAATTCTACGATGGAGAGTGATCCCCTCTCAACCTGGTCGGGTATCTATGGACCATCAGACACTGAGACACACCGCAGCCCCTGGGTGGGACTACCAGTGGTGGGGGGGGGGGGGGGCAGTGCCTTTAAAAAAGATATTGCTTTCATTTGGTTCAAGGAAAAAAAAAACACCAACTCAAGCTTGGAGCAAAAAAAAAAAAAAAACTGATCCCAGCCTTTAACTTTAAGGGACACCACTGACCTCACCCCCACAGGCTAGCGGGTCCAGGCGGTCAGCCGTGGAGCTGTGTCCCACTGGAGGCTTTGGTGAGAACTCTGCAGGTACCACTTCTCTGTGTGGAAATATCTCAACTCTAAATGATGTTCTCACTGGTGTGGCTGGAATGCACGGTTTTGCTGAGTAGAAGGCATCGAGTCGATTTCTGCCGGTTTTTTCTTTAGTGCATGCATTGCGGCCCTCCGGCCTGAGCCAGGGAAGAGGAGGCTGATTGCTGAAACAAAGTGATTGACTTATCATCTGATTGTAAGACGAGCGAGGAAGGCCGCACTCGGCCTGAGAGAGGGTCCCAGTCGCTGCAGACCGGCGTACGGAGAGGGAACGAGTGAAGGGAGGACCTCTGACCACCCCTGGGGTCAGCTGCCGGTGGAACGCAGGCTGCCCTTCAGCCGCTGATGTGGGCAACTCCACCCGGGAGCGTGGCGGACACACCAGAGTGGGCAGCTCCACTGTTCTGCTACACGCGTTTGTAGTCTGTGGTCGTCGAAAAGAGACGATTTTGGTCAAAAATAAAGGTGAGGCCAAAGTCTTCAGAATGTGGCGGTAAACTCTAGCTGCGATATGAGGAAGCGGAGACATAGGAGGGAGGGAGGAAGAGAAAAGCAGTGTGGGAGGCCTGTGGCAGGCATTTATCAGCTACATACTCTCTGACCAGCGTTTGGTGTCCTTGTCAGACCTCAGCAGGCCGAGAAAAAAAAGCTCTCACCAGACAGACCGTGGCCATGTGCCCTTCTATATTTTGGGTGTGCAAAATCTCAAACATTCTGAGGCTACATTCACACTCCTTTTTTTCCCTCTTTCTCTCCTTGTCAGACCCTTTCTTACTCGTGGCAGACTCTTCAATGGTTGCTACCAAATGTGATGCTACTTCCCTGCGTTAGAGCGCCCCTCTATAGACAGTTTGACCTCCTGGGGGATAAAAGAAGGCCTTGAGTGGCTGGAGGTGATAATCTGGGGGCGTGGCCCTTCATCTCCTTTCATACTGTATCTTTGGAGGCCAGGTGAGGACCAGCGCCTCTGAGAGGCACCTAGTGCTGCTTGCATCGCTCCGATGCTGGCGTCGGCGAAAGCAGAACCCTCTGTGTGCAAGTGGTAACTGCTCTGACTCCTTGGGTGCTCTGACGAGGTCCTACTTGGTCTGATAGGCGATTCGTTTTGTCCGACGACACCCAAATGTGCGGGTTCCTCCTTATCGGCCCCGTCTTTCTCTCCGTCTCTCTGTCTTTCTCTGTTGAGGCGATCCATCCTGAGAGCCCGTGACTGTTGCGGGGCAGGGGGTCCCATGAGCTGGTGAGCAGGTCCTGATGCGGCGTTTGTTTTGCTCATAAGCCGAGATAAGTTCTGCTGTTGGTGCTGCTGGGAGTTGTGATGCTGCGGCTGCTTCTGCTGCTGCGGCTGGAGCTGCTGCTGCTGCAGGGTGATGGACACGCACATGTCTCCCACTTGTAGATGGTGGCACGCCAAGCCGTAGAGCTGGGCGGTGCGCTCCGGGCTGCAGGACGACCATCCCTGACCAAACACAAAGAAGGGGTGCTCTGGGGGTACATCTATGGTCACTTTGCTCTGCTGTTCTCCCACCGTGAAATGAAGGGCTACCAGTCCCGGTCTTTGATGACTGGCGCGGATGTCCATCACCAGGCTGGAGTCGATCTTGAGCCCCCCACTCACCTCTGCACTTCGCACAAAATCCTGAGTTTGCAGGTCCTCCACACGTTTGAGCTCCCCAGTGGCCAGCTGAATAATGGCCCCCTTCATGAAGTGCGATGGGTTACCAGAAGCCGGGGCGGGCGTGAGGCTTGAGGCTAAGGCCTGAGTCACGTCTGCGGCGGGCTGCAGGGGGAGCTGCGGCTGGGCTGGGGTCGGCTCCGCCCTCACGGGGAGGCACACTCTGGCTGACGAATCGGAGGCTTTAAAGCTTGCGTTAGATGAGGCTGTGGTGGCAGAGGCATGGCTGGCTGAAGTGCTGTTGGCCTGTCCCGGGTAGTGTTGTTGCTGCGGCGGCTGAGGCTGCGGGTGATACTCGATGGGAATAAGAACTGGCTGCCCATTGGCCAGCATGACGGCGTGGCCCGGCTGCCCAGTTTGCTGCTGCAGACCCGTCCCTTTGTGATCGCTGTAACTTGATGGCTGGGCCGAGTACGCAGTCCTGTCAGACACTGCACCTGCTCTCTCTCCGTGGAAGCCTCTGGCTCTGTGGCCACCCTGAGAGAGATTCAGCGGAGCAAATGAGACTTCTTTCCGTACGCCACCGACACCTTGGCTTGGGGAAACCAAACGACCAACGACTTGCTGCACCTGAAATTTAAAGAAAGAAATCAAGGGGTTTGGCAGGACAGCTTTCAAATAGGTAGAAGAATGGTATCAGAAATGGTGCCCAGTTTTTTGCAAAGCAGCTAAACTAATATGCAAGAAAGAAATCATTTTCTCATCACCCTCCTAAAACCCTCCAACACAGACATCCATTCAAAGACATGGCAAGACATGTAAAAAAAAAAAAAAAATGTCATTATAAAAACTGAAAAAATAAAACGTACAAATTCTAAAAACGGAAATCAGGAAAAAGAAATTAAACCAAGCGTTAGGGAAGAACACACAAGAATAAAGTATGGGAATAAAGAAAAATGTTACATCATCTGCCTTCTGCTCCTTTGATTTTGAACTACATACCACTTTTTTTTTTTTAAAACCTTTCCTAATCACCTAAATCAGATCACACAAATAGGGTACATCAGCAAGTCATCAGTGTGTCTTACCTCCAGATCACTGTCTGGAGAGCTGCGCTGACCGGGTGAGTTTCTGCCTTCCAGCCTTCGGTTCTGCAAGATCCGCTCTTGGCTGTGTTCCTGTGAGGCGGAGCTGGATGCTACCTGGGACAGATGTGCATTTCTGGCAGTGTAGGCAGAGTCTGGCACGACCTCCCTGCTCCCATGCTCTTTATCCCCTCCATTCATTTCTGCTTCATTCTCCTGCTGGGAACTATGGCAATCTCTGGTGGCAGAGGCAGCCCTACTGCCCTGAGGGTGGTAGAAGACTGGCATCCCTCGGGAGCTGAGCTCTGCGGCAGGTAGAACTCCAACAGTACCGAGGTGCTGCTGGGCAGCTTGCTCTGAGGACAGCATCAGCGGGACGCCCCCTGAGGCTGCGACTTTGGCAAAGGTATGAGCAGCTACCTGAGCCTGAGGAGGTGGGGATACAACTCCTTCCTGCATTACTGATGGATAGGGAACTAGGTGGGACACAGCATGAGGCTGAGGGATGGTACCTGAAGGGGAGATCAATGATCCTGGGACAAACCCAGGGGATAGAGCGTAGGGTACAGCGGCATAAGGGGAGCCAACAAACTGAAGAGACGAATGAGGGATCTGTGCATAACCAAGAGGAGGATAGGGAAGGCCTGGATGCTGCAGGAGGGGAGAGTGTACAGTATAAGCCTGTGGGATGTGGCTTAACACTGGCTGAAGACTGGTAGGTGAGTAGGTAACAGATGGAACAGCCACTTTATAAAGCATGCTGTACTGGTCGACGGGCACCGCTGATATGCTGTCAGAATTATCCACCCCATAATGAATCCCCTGCTGAGATCGCAGCCACTCTCCAGAGGGGTTCCCTCCATGAGTGTCACTGCTAGCTGTAGAGTTCTGAACAGAAACTACTTCATCATCTCCAACGCCACATCCAGCAGCTCCACTTCCTGCTGTCCCTCCGGCTCCACTGCTGTTACTAATTGGGATGTCCCTCTTCTTTGGAGGCAGGCATTCCTGGTTGCGCTCCTGAGTTGATTTCATTGCAATCTCCTCACCAAGCAAGCTGCTTTACTGGACTATACTGGAACTGGAACGTGAAACCCAGTCAGCCCACACTGGAACCGGTTTTGAAATCACCTGGCTGACCTTGTCTTCATGTTCACCTAAAAAATAAATAAAAAAATAAATAAATTATAGTCTTGTGTAATCTGAATATGCACAACGATAATTGAGGGATACATAGGTCTGTGGTTAGAAAAGGATCTGAACATCTAGAAAATACTCAACAAACCCCAAAACGATTTAAAGTTAAAGTTATATATAAAGTGATACACCAACAAGGGGCGAGTTGAAATTGTCTGATACATCTATCACATTTGTTCCCGTTTGTTCTCTTTTGATCCTCCTAAGGTGCTTTTTTCTTCTTTTTTTTTTACATATATCAAAATGAATCAATTCACATCCCACCAGTCTTCTACAAGTCTTTAGGTAAACTGAAATATGAAGAAAAACGTGCCTCTTTTGCATTTTATTATTTGTATTGGGCACATGCAAGAGCACCCCTGTCTTTGACATCTGTTCAGAAACCGATTTTAGCTAAACAAATCGCAAAAAAACACAATATCTGCAAAGGAACTGAAATTATTTTGTTTTTGTTTTTTTAATACATTATAAAGCTCTTAACCGCCTCCTCTTCAGGTCAGTGTTTACCGTTAGCCCTCAGTTTGTAGGCTGACTTGGCTAAAGTTGGCTAGCTGCTAGGAGTCATAGTTTCCAAGCAGAGACATAAGTGACAGTGTGACATATACTATGCCAACGTTTAATAAACGCGGTGGATTCGTGCAGATGCATGCAGCAAATAAGAATATCTGGTTACCGATAGGAGTGATTACCGGGCACTACACTTAGCCCTAGCACCATATATTCGTGCTAGTTAGCTATTAAACTAGCACAGCAACATTTAGCAATATGAGCCCTGTTCGATTTACGTCTGCTCACTTCTATCATGGCAGCACGTACAGTGCCCGTCATATATCTCTTTGCGTTGCCTCCTCATGTACACTTACCCCAAATTGTCATTGCGAACCGCCGTTTGTCAATGAAAAAAATCAATAAAGTTAGTACGTGGAGGGACAATTAAAGAAATCAAGGCTAACGAGTCAAGCCCATTTCGAAGGCCTGCAGAGGCGCTCACCGATGACGTCACGACATTTACTCAATTTCCTGTTTTTCTTGGCGAGCTCATTAGAGTGACGTAGACACGCAAACGTGATAGAAACCGCCGGCATAACAGTTTTTTCTCCAATAAACAGTTAGCAAATAAATGTAACCAACGTAACGTGAGCAATACCTGACTAGTGCCATTCATTTTTATAAGAAAAGCCTCAAATTGTGGTATTATGGACACTAAACGAAAGATTGAAGGCGTCTGTTCTGTGAAATAAGAAAACACTGCGCAGGCATGAACACTTTAAAGTCGTATGCATCTTACTTGATACATACAACTTCGAAAATCTTTTGCACCACTTCAGGCCAATAATTTAGCTTAAACCCTTTAGTACAGAATCTGATAAAGCCAACACCAGTGGGCGCTACAATCATTTTGAATTTTAGGACGGTAATTAAAGGTAAATGTACAAAACATGTTTTTGTGAATTGTTTATGATATTTTGTTAAGGGGTCAAATAAGGATTTTCTTCATGAATCAGGCTTTCAAGGGAGAACGATAAAGGGAATAAACAGTGAGAGGAAAGACAACTGAAATTTAAAAGGATAAGAGAGAAAAAATAATGTACAAACAGAAGATAGGCAATAACCTATGGCATTTGCAAAAAGATTTAAAAAATAATCAATAAACTTATGCAACATGTCAAAAGCTAACAAGACAAATATTTAAAAAATTCAGTAATACTAAACTGCTATAAGTACAAAATTCTCAAATATAAAGGAACTCATTTTTAGGACTCAATGACAGGCAGAAACTTTGGTAACTTTAAAAACAGTTTTTCCTGTAGTTCCATGATAAGAGCAAGGTGTGCAAGTAAATGCAAAAAGTTAAATATTGCCAAAGTAGCTGAAATTCTCACCCGTTTACAGATCCTGAACTTATAACATTCACTTACCTTTGAAATATATTCTTTAAAATAAAGTAAAGACAAAAAACACTATAGATATATATGTTGCAGAAACCTATTTACTGATACAAAGCAGCATTTACAATGAGCAGTTCGGGCTCTGTAACTACTTCTGTTTGTGGCTTAAGAGGACTGTGCACATGAAACCATAAAGGTTTCGTCTCTTTAGTAATCCGAGAAAAAAAAAATAAAAAAGAAGATAGCCGTAACGTAAACAATGTCTTTTTTAAGGACAGAACAGTGGCAAGAATGGACGTGTTAAGATTAATACTTACTTTGTAATCCCCAAATCTACTTTATAGATTTAGCCATAAGATGGTGCATTGGTGAGACAATTACCAAAGATTTTGTTCCTTAAACCTGAACACTGAGGCGGTAATTTCCCTGAATCACTAACACTATGACACGAGAGGGGGTGGTGATTATTCATTAAGCGTGAGTTGAGACTGCGGCACTAAACCTATCAATTGTAGCAATCTACTCAAAACATGAATGTACACTTCCCCTTTTGCACCAGCATTCACTTAGGATGGGAGTGAAATGCCACACTTTACACAACTCTTTGTTATCTCTGCTCAACAGAAAATTTACTCAACTCTAGCACATTAATGCTGTTCTCCAGGATCAATTTATCTGAACCATTTTACAACATATAAGCAGCAGCAAAAACTCCTATGGTGTCATTTCATGTTTCCTCATCTGAGAACCATGTGTTGGGATGTTCGCAGGTCCCAGCAGACTTTACAGCACTCATGGGGCATTTTGAGTTTTAGATCTTATCATTCTCTAAACATCCTCTACTGTGCGCTTTATCAATAGATTAAACTCAAATGAGTTCTTGAGAAATGCCACTACTCTTCAGTAAATCAACAGACTTCATAGATTAGATCTAAATAACTTAAAACCACACACTACAGCATCTTTTTTTTTTCTAAATCACATGCTGAGGTTATCGCATTTTTCAGATGTGCACTCCTGACGGTTTGAATTCAGAGAATTGTTATGTAGATTTCCAAGCATGCAAAGCTTAAAAGTATGCATGATGTAAGCTGTATTTTCAGCTGCATACTTCTAAGAAAAATTGGCAAAGATTTCTTTCACCTTAACTTTTTTCAGTTTTCATAACTGATAGCTCCACAGAGAACATCCAAGAAATTTTACCAATATACAGCAAAATTAGTTAGACAGGATGGATGTAGGCAAAGCAAAATTCCAGTCAAATAAAAACACTCATCTTCTTTTCATAAGACATGTCTCAGCAAAATAAGAACAAGAACGCCTTTTCTTTTGAAAACTAATGTATTGACATGTTACTGTATTACACATTTAAACAGAATTTTCTGTTAGGAAAAACAGCTTCAGTGCAGTTGTCCTGAACTGAACTAGATTAAACAGAATTGGTCAAAGTCATCAGTTTCAGAGAACGCAAGTCAACAGATGTAGCATATAGTTACAAAAAAAATATTCCCAAAAAGGCACAGAAGAAAGCGCAGGAGCTGCCGCATCCCTCCTGGAGAACGTTTGCATAACTGAATAAATACATCTGCTGATCATCAATATCAAACTGTGCCTCAGAGGAAGCCAGCCATCATACAATTACAGCAGAGTGCAACATGGAGAATTAGTGGGGCAGGAAAAAAACAGCATATAAATATATATATCTCCATAAAATATAAAGACTTAAAGGATTAAAGTTATTTAGTACCATTAATCAAAATATATTGAAAGATTTCAAGCATATACAGTATTTGTAGCAAAATTATATTAAACAACTGCCTTAAAATAATCTATCCTATATTTTGGGTAAAATGTGCAATTATTAGCATTTGGGAGAGCAGGTTTGCACTCACATTACACACTAAGAAACACCTGAACTAGTTATTACCAGAGAATTCCCAGATCGCTGTATTTTACTGGAAACAGGGCCCTCCACCATTTCAGGACAACTGCTCTTTTGTAACGGAACAGATACAAGTCTGTCAGTGGTTCTGGATGCTGCATTACAAAGGGCGTAGTGACAAAAGCTGACATGCATATTACAGTGATTGCTTCTTACCAGCTTCCAAAGGGCACTGGATGTCTGACACATTTCATCAAAAAGTCTCTCCAAAAACCCTCTTTTTTCCAGTAGTAAGTAGCCCAGACAGAGTCATGTGTAGGGTGTACATATGAGGAATATTCTCTAATTGCCTCATGGATACTTTCAAAGCATCTTTGCACATAAATGTCAATGTTATCCTTTCTGAGAGCACAGTAACTTCAACTTCTTGGTTTCCCCAACACCACCGTCATAATCCATAATCCAGATACAGAGATTTTGGGAAAAGTCAAGGTGTGATTTTGAACAGTGTATGCCGTAAATGCTTATAGAATTTTCAGCGCTTAACTCCTTATGTTAGAATGCATGAGATGGAGAAAAAAAAAGAAAAAAAGAGAGACAGAAGTTTTATGACACTTAGTATCCAGATGCCTTACATGCTGCCTCCTTCATCAGAGCAGCCAGCCGACTGGCTAATCAGGGACTGGTCTGAGTCTAAGCATGTGCCTGTCCCTTATCTGTCAAATATTTACCCATTCCTGACCGTTCACGTTTGTCCTCAATGCCTTACCAGAAGGTCACAAAAAAAAAGGTTTGATAGCAGCCCTTCAAAAGAGAAGAGGAAATATCTACCACAGACTGAAGTTCTCAGGGCTCTCTTCCCTGTTAGCATGTATTGCTGTATTACACTAAACTATTTGAGGATACCTACGACCGCATCAAAAATAGAGAACATCTAAAAGTGAAACCCTGATATTACATAATTAGCTACTTATTGCAAAACTCCAAACGAGCATTAAGGATATGGACACTTGTAGCAATCAGAAATAAGTCGGGGGGGGGGGTACATTCAACCAGGCCACATGCAGTCCGTCTCACCTACATGGCAGAACACTTGTTAGTTGTGTTATTTCAAGATCCTCTTTCAGAAATATCATTCATTTTTTTAAATAAAAAGAGAGAACCAAGACATGTACAAAATTACATTTACTTGTACTAAATGCCGAAAATAGTTCCTGAAAATCAGTGTTGTGACATGCATCGCTGGTTTTGACAGAGCAGATTTCCTATATGATCCTTTAAATTTGGGGGAAGAATTTTTACCGACTGATTAGTTAAAAGAAAGAGCAGCTTAACTAAAAGCACTGCCACATGTAGACTATAACAATGATTTTACAGCTGGAGCTTTACAAAAAAAACTTCAAGTCACCTCTAAATTTAGGACTTATCTGATTGGGTAAAATCTCTAGAAGAACTCTGTGTGCCAATTTCTCATTTAAGAGACCTTCAAGTATCAACCCACCGGTCAGTAAATGGATGAGCTTGAAACAATTGGTATTCCTGCTCTGTAATAATGATCATGCGCAAACTTTGGCTTACAAATGATTTCAGTTCTAAGTTCTAAATGGCTATTTCAAATTTCAATGTTCCTATATTGGTATTTCTGAAAGGGACCATAAAAAGAATAACTGTTCTAAAAACTTGTTTTTAACCCACCCCCCAAAAGAACCTTGAAACCTAACATCTTCAGACAGTGTCATTAGCCAGAGTTTCTGTTGAGAGCCAGATCCTCGCCCCATTCAGAAATTTACTGATTGGGGTTCCGGAGAGACTCCTCCGGCACAGGTTTCCAACAGGGGTGAAAGGAAAGGATGATGTTAGGAAGTCTGGAGGCGTAGGGGGGTCTTCTGGAGAACTGGCTTTGAAATACATTCTTCTAAGGTCTGAAGGGGGGCCACTTGGGCTTGGAAGTGGCGTGTTCCTGGGACTGGGCCCATTGTACCGCCTGAGCTGGTTCTGTAAGATCTCAATTTCATCAACCAGTTGGGACAGCTTGTGGTAGGCAGTGATGGAGCCTCCCTTGGGTATGCAGGCCTCGGGAACCCAGCGGAGAAAGAAAAGCCTCCACAGAACTACATGCGAGGGCAAGAGCAAGGGAATCAGGAGGCCCTGCTGGTCAGCAGGTCGAGAAAACCAGTCCCTGAAGAAGCGCTCGGCTGGGCTTTCATCCTTGACCGGTGACAAATCAGGCCTCAGTTCTGAGACCAAAGAGCCCCGCCGGGGAAATGCGTCCTCTTCGCTCTTCTGTCCGTTACGCTGCAATGTGGACAATCCTCGCACCGTAGAACTGTAGGATTTCTGTGGGTAGAAGAGCAAAGAATCATTCTAACCTGATAAAAACAGCTGGAATCAGGAGAACAGTGAATTAACTTTTTTTTTTTCATAGATTTATGTCCACTGTGGTAGGAGGTGGGGTTAATAGCAACTTAGGCTTTTTCCAGTTAACTAGTTACACCAGGGACCCCAAAAATGTTTTTAGCTGACAGAAAAAATCCAAACAAGCAGAAGGATGGATAGGACAGCTCACAGATCATAGTTGCTGTGCACATCACTATAGCTACACTCTGTTGTAACCGGCTTCTCCTGGTCTAAACTCAGTGTGGTAACAATTGAAACTCGCATTCTCAGTATGACTGAGCACATACATACAGCAGTAGTTTAGGATCAGATTGAATTTACATTGATTTCACATTTGTGCTTCAGCTGCAAATTGCTAATACTAAGACTTAACAGCCCCTCCCATACCTTTGTACGTCTGAAGGTCTTCACTTCTCCATTCTGAACACAGGCAGCTCCTTTGCCAACAAACATGGGGTTGTTAAACAGGGTTTGATCTCTGATGGAGAACTGCTGTGACCACTCCCAAACAGGAGGGAAAAACACAGTCTGGTCTTCCCCCTGAGGGATAGCTTTATTCTTGGCGAAGTCCTACAGAATAGAAAGAAAGAAAAAAACAACAAAAAAAGGTCATTAAAAAATATATTATTATAAACATGAAAAACAAATGAAGCGTAGTTATAGCATAATAAATAGGTAACTTCCCCACTCTGCTTTATGCAGAGGGATTTTGAGGAGATTGAAATCAGTGAATCTGGTTACATTTTCATACAAAAACATAAATGTTGCAGTCAATTAATCAAAATGTTTCTCACATTCAAGAGTTTTCCACGATGCCTTGGAGAATTGAAGAGGAAAGTACTGAAGAGTGGGTTCCACATGCTGTCACTAAGTATTGTCAGATACATTTCTGTGAACTCAAATGCAGCTGGGTACTGGTTCATCATCTGCCACACGCAGTCCAGGAACAAAGTGAACAGCGGGGACTGGATCAAGAAAATGGAGGCAAACAGACAACCATAAGAAAGGAAAGTCTGAGAGAATTCCTCTCCATGACATATTCCAAACTGAATAACACGCATACCTCCTCTCTGTCATTTTTCTTTAAGTGGTTGCATCTATCCAAGAAGCGATGGCCAGCCATCACCCACTCCTTCTGGACCAAACTCTGAAAGCCGACTAGGCTGCGATAGTGAGGGTCCAACATGAGCTGAACCAATGAGGACACTACGCAGTTAAGATCTCGGTCTTCTTCCTCTGTAGAACAGTCAAATGAGGGACATGAAAAACTTCCACAAACCATTGACAAAAAAAGAAGCATTTCTGAAAGATTGAATTTAGATTTTTTTTTCTTGTACTGATGTCAAATGCATAGGTGCAATCAGTGGGGGGGAAAAAAGATAATTTACCTTGAAGAATGACAGAGGCATTTTTTCCATCGAGGAGGTAAACTATCTCTGCTGAATGTTTAAGAAAGGCCCTTGGGTCAGAGAAAGAAAATACTTTTTTAACCTCTTTGAAAAAGATTTTTCTAAGAATTTTCTAAAAAGAACAGCTTGAGAACAATAATTTTTCATCAAATCCCTTTGTACTAACAACTACTCCCATGTGAGAACACTGTAACACGTGCACTTTTTACTGTTAAAAAAGAAAAAGAGAGTAAAACATCTCTATAAAAAAAAACGAACACATCAACAGGGGAACGTTTTGTCATAATATGGAGGGAAAAAAAACAACCACTGAGCAGGCTAGCCAAAGATTCAGGTGGCATATATGTGATGAGGGAGTATAACTGACATAAAAAGTAATAAAAGAAAAACAGTTAAATATATTATTTCTTCTTATAGCATATGGTAACAATTTTCATGTAGGTCGTGATGGCTTTGCACATCCCAGAGAATACCTTGTACACATTTGGCAAAGTGCATGGCACCATTTTCACATGGGAAGTGTAGCTTTATTCAGACTAATTAAAATAGAACTAAATATAGTTAATAATTGTGTTGCAATGATACTGAAATGTAATACCCCATAATTAAATTACTGTTGTTTTTGCTGACTAATGACGGGCTAGGCAGTCCTAAATATTATTTTCTCATCATCAAACTGAATGCAAACACTATGCATTCAAATGACTTACGTACTTCATAAATGTAGTATTTCATTGAAAGGTTTCATGTAATGTGTAATCCCCACTCGGCCAGGAAAATGATAAAATGTCCATTCAGGTTTTGTTAAAGAGGTATGAGGGCACCATACACATAATGAAGACATTTTAACACAATCCTTTGAAAACTAGAACAAGACTGATAAGTTATACAGCTATAAAGGCAGTCAGTTTGTTTACATACCTGATGTATTCAAGCCAGCGTGAGTTTTCAATGGAGGAAAGCCATCTTTCCTCTGACTCCTCAAAATGATCTTCACAGTCAAGTCAACACAGTCATGTTAGGACATACAAATGTATGGTCAAACCACTTAACATACAATCTAAAGCCTTGCCATGATTTTTCCTAAGAACAGGTCTTACCCAAAACACAGATCTGCCTGATTTTAACAAAGGCGCTTTGGATGTCTTGGATATGAGGCAAGCACTTGTCAAGATCTGACCTGATGACCTCACTGCGTTGTGGGTGGCTTTTAGTTATGGCTGTGAAGATCCTACGACAACACACACGATCTTTTAAGGCAACTTTCTTAAAATTTTGCAAAAAGTACTCAGAAAGGAACTAAAAGTTTAAATTCTGATTGAGGGTCTGATAAATGTCAGCATTTATTGTGAATGAATGCATAAACGGAGCAGATAACAAAGGCTGGTAAGCTGAAGACAGCATGCAGAATCCGATTACCTTTGATCAATTCTTTTCTGTTGTGATGGATCTAGTATGCTGGCTACACGGATGAGAGCACTCCCATTAGAGTGATTCCAGCACCACAGCTACAAGAATACACATGCACAGATTAAACATTCACCAGTTTTAGAAAAACAAAGATTCTACTATTTGTTATATTGGCTCTAACTTAGAATCATCAAATTAGCTTATATAATTACATTGTAGGTTTAATCGTAACAATGTGATCAAAAGTACAATTAGCAAAAAAAATCAATCAATAAATAAATAAAAGCAATTATTTGACAAAGATAAGTCACTCACTGGAATGCGCCCATCAGTGAAATATGAAGAGTAATGCTTTATATCTTGATCCGTCAGGGAAACCGGGACCACAATGTGCTCTGGAAGACTAAAAAGGAGTGTAAAGAACGGCTGGTGTTACTTATGATTCAAGTACAATATCAGATTTCATATAATGAAAAACAACACCAAGAGCAGACAAGGGTCATTATTTCCAAAACTCTTATCTAATGCACAGAATACAAGTTGCTAGAGGCAACAATAAAAAACAATGACAAAAAATTGTCGTACCACTGGTTGTTTTTACAGCTTGGTGTAGCTATTCTTCTGTTAGAAACAGTGGTCCTACCATGATGTCACCCCTGAATTACAATAGCATCTTTTGTCCTTAACAAACATGCATGGTTCAGTTGTGTTTTTTTTCCCCTGTGACAAATGTCTCTTTAATTGACTGTTTATTGTCCAAAACTGCTTGAAACTATGTCACATAACTGAGGTATGATTTGGCAAACAACAAACAGCATGAGGTGAAAACCTTGCAGAGATGACGTAACACTCATTGACGGAGCAAACCCTCCACTCCGAAGCCCCCGTTCTCTTGATCTCCCGATCCCAGTCAGATGGACGGTCAAAAATCGGGGTCTGTAATCCTCCTCTAGGGGTAGAGCCATTGACTCGTTCTCCTGAAGAAAAAAAAAGAAAAGGAAAATAAAAAACAGTAAAAAGTCTATGAAAAAAAAAGCTATTTTGTTTTCATTCCTTTTCTTTGTTTTTATAGTGGCGATTGTTTGTCGAACCAAACATCCAACGAAAAGTTCTTCAAGCCACTAAGAGGCAATGGGGTCCAGTTTCTATACGCAGGAAAGAAAAGAGTTCATATCCAAACTTCTTGATTCTTGTTGAAGATTTATTGGTTCCCTTTTTTGCAACAATTACAGAGTTCAAACTTTCTGTTCTCTGGCTCTTGCTTGCTCTGTCTCTTGTTCTAATCTATTGTCCTGTTCTCTTGTCCTGATCTCTTGTCCTGATCTCTTGTCCTGATCTCTTCTCTTGTCCTGATCTCTTCTCTTGTCCT